ATTAAAATCGCGCTCATTAATACCATAATTGGTGTAAACGCTTTCAGAATTCCCCGTCGGCAGTAATCTTAAAAGCACGACTAATTGTAATGAAGCCCGGCCACCGCAGCTTCGCTCACCACCACCGAAGACCAAAATTCTCTTTGCGTAATTCTAGCCCAAAACCTGATAATCTTGAAACCGTTGCACAACGTCAGTACCTATGCAGCGCTCATTAAATCTTTAATTAATTAAGACGAACATGCTCTTAAATCTACAAGGTACGACGGGGTATTATTTATTTCTAATGTTTTATTCAAGTGAGAAGAGGGACATGTAGGGGTAATAAATAATAACGTATTGGCGGCGTGGTATAAATTATGGTGATGGGTTTTAATAAAGTGGTGATCTTTAATGGACTGATTAAGAAGTTGAAGGCTCTTATTGCGGGAATGTCGCAAAAAAGACCCGCAGTGAATTATACTCACAAGGCGATATATGTTTTCATTCTTTTTTTAGCGAGGTATAAATAAATTTTAACGTCGAATCGACGCACATTTTTCTTGTTTATGGAAATTCCGCGGGCTTTGGAAAAAAAATTAGACTGTCTAGTGGCACGCACAGCCAGCATTTTCAACAAGTTGACTCCAAATTATTAGGTTGCTTACGAAAGTTCTATTTTTGAATGATGAAGATTACCTGAATTTTGAAAAACATGTTTATTTTAATTACAAAAAATTTGAGATTGTGCTATTTTTAATGGAAGCTTTGAAAAGTCCAAAAAATTTGTTTAACTCCAACTTTTTAAATCAAACATTCTACAAACCTTGAAACTTCCTGAATCTTTTGGAAGTTCTCGAAACACAGAAAATTTCAAAATATTTTGAGCACAGTCTGAACAGCCTAAAATTAAAAATAATAATAATAATAATAAAACCCGTGAAAACGTATTCGGGCTAAACTCGCGACTCCACTTTTTGGAAGTTTTAAATTTTAAAATTTGATAGAAATTTTATTTTCAAAGTATTACAACGTTCCAAAGTTCCAAATTTTTCGATTTTATATTTATCATTATTTTTCCTTTTTACTTCCGGAGCGTAGGCTAAGGAAGTATTGTAGATAATAGGGTCCATCGGACGAATGGGCACTTTTATATTTTCTTGACGTTTCCGTCTCTCTCTGTCTCTCGCTTTCTCTCTTTCTCGTATTCGACACGTAATTTCCGAAACTGCTGGACCGATTTTTGTCAAATTTTGTATGTATATTATAAATGTCATGTAGATGGTTAAATAACATTTAATAGGTTAGCAACCAAACTTTTGCTAAAATAATAAATAATATGAAACCTTCTTGGGAGCCAGAAGTGTCTTTTCTTAATAATGGGAAACCTTCTCGGGGGTCCCAATTGTCTTTTTTAAAAATATGAAACCTTGTCGGGGCCCCAAATGTAATTTTTAAGAATGTGAAACCTTCTCGAGGGTCTCAACTGTTTTTTTTTTTTAATGTAAAACCTTCTCGGGGGCACCAAATGTCTTTTTTAAGAATATGAAACCTTCTCGAGGGCCCCAACTGTCTTTTTTTTAAAGAATGCGAAACCTTCTCAGTAGCACCATCTGTCTTTTTTTAAAAGAAAATAAAACCTTCTCGGGGGTCCCAACTGTCTTTTTCTAATATAAAACCTCGGGACCCCAAATGTTTTTTTTTTAATAATGTGAAACCTTCTCAGGGCTCCCAGTTGTCTTTTTTTACAAAAGTCTAAAACCTTCTCAAGGGTCCCAACTGTCTTTTTTGAAAATGTAAAACCTTCTCAGGGGCTCCAATGCATTTTCTTAAGAATGTGAAAACTTCTCGGGGGTCCCAAATGTTTTTTTTTATGTAAAACCTTCTCCGGCGCCCCGAATGTTTTTTTTTAAATAATGTGAAACCTTCTCAGGGGTCCCAATTATCGTGTTTTTTAAAATGTAAAACCTTGTCGGGGCCCCAAATGTAATTTTTAAGAATGTGAAACCTTCTCGGGGGCCCTAAGTGTCTTTTTTTAAGAAGTTGAAACCTTCTCAGGGTTCCCAACTGTCTTTTTTTTAAATGTAAAACCTTCTCGGGGGCGCCAAATGTCTTTTTTAAAAATATGAAACCTTCTAGAGGGCCCCAACTGTCTTTTTTTTAAGAATGCGAAACCTTCTCGGGGGTCCCAAGTGTCTTTTCTTAATAATGGAGAACCTTCTCGGGGGTCCCAATTGTCTTTTTTAAAAATGTAAAACCTTCTCGGGGGCCCTAAATGTACTTTTTAAGAATGTGAATGCTTCTCGAGGGTCCCAATTGTCTTTTATTAATGTAAAACCTTCTCCAGGGTCCTAACTGTCCTTTTTTAAGAATGTGAAACCTTCTCTGGGGCCCTAAGTGTCTTTTTTTAAGAAGTTGAAACCTTCTCAGGGTTCCCAAGTGTCTTTTTTTGAAGAAGGCGAAACCTTCACAGGGGCCCCAAATGCATTTTTTGAAAAAAAGTGAAACCTTCTCGGGGGTCCCAACTATCTTTTTTTGATAATGTGAAACCTTCTCGGGGTTCCCAAGAGTCTTTTTTTTAAAGAATGTGAAACATTCTAGTGGACCCAACACTCTTTTTTTTAAGAAGATTTTTTTTCTCCTAGACTGTGACTAGTACTTTCTACATTGTTTTTACTCCATAGAGGTTATCACAAAAAAGTAAAATTTCACAAAATCAAATTTCATAATTTTTCAAAGGAGCAGAATTTGGGAAATTCTGTCGAAATAACGTTCGATCAGTTTTTTTTCGGAATTCGCATATTTTTCACTTCCAGTCATTTCGGAGCTATAAAGGATTTCCTAAACTAAATTTTGAACTGGATGAATTTTGAAAATCTTAGAAAAATATCTTGAATGCTTAAAAAAAAATTAAGTAACTCTTCTACTTAAGTATTGAAAATAGTAGGGAATTCTTAAATCTCTAGGAGATTTAAATAATGATGCTAAAAATAAACGGCCCAATAATGAAAACAAATCTCTAAGAGATTTTTAAATTTTTAGCAATTTTTGACACTAAGCATTTTCCAAAAATTCTAAAGAATAACATAAAAATTTAAAATATGAAATTACTGGAAATCTACATTATTTCATTACCTCAAAGATCAAAATACCGTAACTAAAAAATATACAGACTGTTTATAAAAATCCAAAGGACCAAAAAATTTTAAAATCTAAAGAAAATTTTGACGAACGCTACAACCTTGGAAAAAATACGTTTTTAAACTTTGAAGTTTTAAAATCCTAAAAATATCGTTCTGGCTTGTAAATTGCTTAGAATTTCAGATTTTTTTTTAATATTACGAAATCTCCAACCTCCAAGATTGTTTCTTCTTTACAATAACTATTCGAAGGTTACAATTTTTTTACCGTGTTTATCAAACTTTGTAGTCTCAAAGGTTATTTGATTTTAAATAGCTGTAGAATCCACGAAATGTTGAATAATTTATTATTATTTTTTTAAGGCAAAATATTAAAAAATGTGTTGTCATCGGTAACCTTTATAAAAAAAATTGTAGACATTTTAAACCGGATAAACTTTAAAAATCGCTAGGAAAACAACTGAACGTTTCAGAACAATTCGTCTATTATTTTTCTAATTTCACCCACTAAATTTCCAACGAATTTTGGTAATTTTTGAACTGTTAACACAAATCCGAAATACCAGTTCCCTGAGTGTGTCAGGACAAGTTTATCCAACCTCCGAATATCCTCTTACCAATAATAACACACTCAACTTTTCAATTACCCAAAAATACCAGCTTAACTGCCAAATCACCATCAAAATTGCAACAAGAGCCGCGTTGTGACCACTTTATTACCAACCGTCAAACTGGCTCACAAGACAACATCTTTATCTCAACAACAAAATTATAGGCGACGTGCACGTCTTCGCGCCCGCAGGGCCGGCTCCAGGGAGCAACAAAGACCCCTCAAACTTTAATTTAATTAAATCAGTATATAGTAGTTACGTTGTGAAACAAAACAACCAGCTGTGTTTGCAGACGCAGTAAAAAAACGTCAAAATATCCCGTTTCCGTTCTTTTCGTTTCCACCAGACGATAACACTAATTTTTACATTTCAAACAGTGTCGAAGTCGCCACAAATATTAATTTCGGCCCTGGACGACCCACCTGCGTTTCTCTGGCATGCGCTTAATAACAGGGCTGTCCAAAATCGGCGCAACCTCCTAGATAACATCGCCATGGCTCCGGGCCCTGATTAAGCGCGGCCTCCCGAATAAAACCAAAAGGCGTAACCGCGCCGATGTCGCAGGACCACCCAGCGCAGGAGCAGTGCGTAAATTTTCCTGCAATGCGTTTCCTGCAGCGTAATACAAAAGTTCCCTTTTCGACCCGCGATAATAAATTCGCCCGATTTATCTCCGTAAACTTAACCTCCAGTTTAAATAAACTTAAAGTATTTTCGATGCTGTTGATACACACAATTTTCTTTCTATCGGATTGTTTCACCTTAAGGTGCTATTTTTGGCGGATGAGTGTGCAGGTTGGAGCTAGACGGTGCGAGATGGTCGTTCTGGAGGGCTGGAGGTTCGAAAATTATTTTTGGGTGATTGGGTTTTTGAGCTTTTTAGACTCAGATCGAACAATAACAAATCGGAAAGCTTTATCTAAATATAAAAAAGTAAAGAATTCAGAAATCTAACACGGAAAATAACCAGCTAAAACTGGAAATTTGTAACCTACGTGCAAATACTTAATTATATTTTTACTGAAAAATACACCCATGCGAACTGGCTGTGCTGCAGAGACGAGGAAACTTCCAATTTTTCATTTTTAAATTTTAGCACTATTCACAAAAAAAATAAATGATATTCTCGACTAATAGGATCTAGGGTAGTTTGTGACGTCACAAGGTCAAGCCCGGATTTTACGGCCGCTATTTAGAGTCCGGACACGGAGAAATGCCCGGACTCCCGGAATTTTAAGAAACCAGAGTGAGAAAAGTGTTCAATTTCTACCTTTCCCTGGAAGAGCCTTCTAAACGTGTCCCTCGAGTACTTCTGTTCCTCGCCGACGATCTCGGCGCACTGCCTCAGCTGCGCGACGTGCAGACGCTCCCTCAGGTTCTCCTCTTCCATCGTGGACATGGGCACGCACACGGGCTTCGCCTCGCGAACTGGCGCCCCGGGCGCCGCGACGCCGACGCCGCGCGTCTCTTCCGCACCCACCATTTTCACTCACCATCAACAAACACGCACCAGGTCGTCGACGCCTCCGCGTACTTGCGTTGCACAAAAAGTCGCCACGGTCGCGATGGTACTACGAGATGGTTCTTGGACGGTCAATCGGCGCTGAACTGGCGATCGCGGGAGGCCGAGCCGCTCACCGGATTGGGGTGGGAAGCGAGAGGCGGTTGCACCAGGGGCTCTCAAGGTCTAGAGTGGCGGTGCTTCGCCCTTGTCAAAACGAAAGTTGACAGGTCTTCACCTCGTTTCGCGGATGACGCGTGACGTAGATGGTGCTGAGGTGAAGAGACGAAATCGAGAGTGCTGGTGGGAGGGACGGTGGAGGCTGGGGTCTGCTGGCTCGGATGGCAGCTCTTGGGGGAAGGTGGTACGGTTAGGAGTACCTTGATTTTTAAATTTTTTCAAACCGGTCGTCCAGTTCTAGGTTATGGGTTCTGTTTTAGCCAGTGAGGGTTCGATTTTCGTCATTCTTTCTTGGCGTCTTTGAATTTTTTTTTTAAGTATAATTGCAAGAGAAATGCTAATTCGATTAATTCCACTGTAATTCAATAATTCAGAGGCATTCACGTAATTTCACTCCTTAAATTGATGTTAATTCTGACTAGTTCTAATTGGTAATTCTACGAATTCACGTAATTCCACTTCTTCATGGCGAATTCTTGTAATTCCGAAATAATTTCGCGTAATCTGCGTACTTTAAAATTGAACAAACCCCGAAAGAATTGTCCCGATTCCCAAAATCTACCATTTACGAAAACTCGCCCCTGATTGGCCAGCTTCATGTCAGTTCAGCACGCGCTTGCGCACTGCCTCCCTGCTTCAATTGTTTCTCGCTCTTCCAGCGCAACAGTGACAAAAATCCAAGGTGCGATTCCGAAAATACCCGGCGCATATTTATAGCGCCCACCTCCCCATCTGTGAGCTGACGTAACAGCAAACAAATGACTGTTCGAAAAAACAATAAACACCCCGCTCCGTAAATCACTATAGTAAACTAACCCGTCCTCAGTACGGATTTAGAGCACCTTAAATTCTTTCCTCGAATAAATTGGCGCGCAAACAAGACAAACCCAACTCTTCTCCAAGAAACTACATCGCATCCTCTGGCCGCATCCAAACAGGTTAATCTGATTCTTCGGCGTAATTTATTGTAATTTTATTCAAAGTTTAAAAAGCACGGCTCGAAGGAGTACCTACATTGTCTAACAATGTGCTCGTGTGACATTTATGGCGTGTTTGTCTTGGCTGGCATTTTACACCTTTTTAAGCGCTGCTCTACAAGACGCAGCTCTTGCTTACAAAATGGGCTGTGTGTTGATTAGCGGGCGATTTTGTTGTGGTACGGCGATGGGTGACCTCTGGTCTAAACTGTAAACAGCGACGTTTGTGGACCGAGGATGTATCAATGTACGGGTTAATTGTAATAACAAACGGAGGTTCTGTGACATTTGCGGGAAATGGGTTTGTTTGTGTTTGGTTAAGAAGAGTGGAAACTAGCGGAATTGATACGAGACTTGGTGAAGGAAGGACGAAGTTGCTCGTTTGGTTTATGCTGTGTCTATTATTTGTATTGTTCCTCGAATATAACACAAAATTTTGGAAAAGTCTAGCGTCAAAAACGGGAACACCAATTGGAAAACGGTGCAGTTAGTTTCCTCAGCTTACGTCACATACCACTGCAGCCAATGCAGCTACAGGACAAGGGTGAACTGACCAATCGGAGCCGAGGCTTCTACAAATCGTGGACGTAGATGCTTGTTCTCCAGGATCAAAGTAAAAGCAACTAAATCAAACGAACTTAAGAGCACACAAATTATGACAAAATTGGCCAAAGTTAGTGGTAATGTGGAGTTCGTGCATGATGAAAGATGGGTTTTGTTGAAACAAACGTACGACTGTGTTGGGCAATGCTTAATGGTACTTGAAGGCAATCACTTCGAAGAAGAAGATTTTATTTATTCTTCAACATTATTTGTAGATTATATTTTTTTTGCAAAATTTTTTCGCAAGTCTGCTAAAATCAGCCGCATCATCTCTGCACTTAACCCATTACCAAATCGGCTTTTTTATCAAGTCCGGGTGGTCGCCTTCCTCGTACCGGGCTAATTTCCTGCCGCCTATCTTAGCAACCAGTCACCGTCACCCAGAAACAAAAAGCCGAAGATCTGCAAGTCCCCACAAAGTGCAACTTTTTCAAGTGCTGCGCTAATCGCCGACCAAATTAATTTTTTACGCGATTACCACACACAAGGTAATTCCAGTTACAGTTACAGAGTACCGCCGATTGCTCAATTTTTCGTAATTGCGTCGAAATTATCATCGGAAATTTCACAGCATGATCTAGCCTAAGGTGAGCGAAAAATTCCCACAAACCCGAAGACGCTCGAAATCGTGTCAATGCTTCAAGAAAAGGAAAAAAGGAAAAAGATCCGAATGCCACGCGGCGTATTAGTTACATTTAAGCCGACGTCAGCCATTATTATAATCCGATAATGTCACTTTGCTCATAAAGTGAGCCAATAACTGCGTGTGTTACGGTTTTTTGTAAGTGGTTCAAGGCGATCAAAGCAAAGGGATGTGGTAATGGTAAGAATTTGTGATCGATCCGCTCTCTCAAAACCAGTAGCCCATTCGACATGTCGTTTATCGTGCGTGTAGGCGCTTCACAACTTTTTTTTCCATTCTTCTTCTTCTTTGGCCCGTTTTCGGATTTAATTGGATACGTGGCCTGCCCATGACCACCGTCTCCGTTACATAAGCCGCTTTTTCAGACAGCACGCGCCATTGCCTTTTTAATTGCTTTCTTAATTAACATTCGATTTTTATAATTAGAAACGAATGAATTATGTGATAATTTTAATTGCTGAACTCCTTATCTCGGATTCGGACCGGTCGCATTTTTTGCTCCACGACGATCGAATTTGTCCGGTTTTTTAGACGGAATTTATAAGATGATAATTCCCGCTGTTGGAAAGCAATAGAAGCTTTAAAACCACTCAATGGTACAAAAACTGGGTTGAGTGCAAGCAATACTAAATACACGAGTGTAGAGTTGGTTGCCTATTTTAAAAATAATAACATCGAATCAGAACCTTGGATTTTGTTCCCTCACTTTTCTGGAAATAACAATAAATAATTCTTAATGTCTTAGCACAAATGATAAACTGATAACAACAAACTGGGAAGTTTTAAGAATGCTCTTTCGTCACTGGAATTTCCTGTTGCGAATCTCATAGTCAACCACAACCATCCCAGTGTTAAAGCAATCCAAAAGTTCACACTTTGCTTCCACAATGACAACATTATTAAAGATAACGGTGTTTGTTTGTGCATCTGGATATATCGTAGCAAATCTAGCCGCTGGTAAAGCTGAACATACTTCATTATTTAACAAATAACACCAATTATTTTTTCGTAGATACGTGTCAAACTCCAGATAAACAACAAGGCGTCTGCAAACCCTTTAAAGAGTGCTTGTCCTTGTATTCCCTCCTGGATAACTTAACGCAGCCAATTACCACACACTTACGACAACATCACTGTGGTTTTGAAGCAAATCATCCAAAAGTTTGTTGCCCCAAAAGCACTGAACCCGATTCAAGTATCCATTTTAACCCAGATTCTACTCCATCAAAACAAAACACTGATGGAAGTACCACCATTCTCCAGCACAGCCTATTACCCAACAAAGACAGTTGCGGTTCAACTGATGAAGACAGAATAATCGGTAATTATCTTTCCTTGTACCAGTACCCATGGACTGCAATTCTCATGTACCAAGCAAACAACCAATCAAAAATCGACTGTGCTGGTACTTTGATTAGCAGTCGGTACGTTCTGACGTCTGCTGGGTGTACAACTGGTAATCTTCCAGGAGGAGCTAAACTGTAATCACCCCATTTTTTACCCAAACACAGTACAATTTTAATTTTTTTAGTGTGAGGGTGCGTTTGCGTGAACACGATTTGGCTTCAAACCCGGACTGCGACAACCCAGATCAGGGGTTACTATGTGGGGAACCATTTATCGAAATTCCAATTGAGAAAACCATCGTTCATGAAAAGTACCGATCTGATGATGCTAATCATCGGCACGATATCGCTTTAATAAGGCTTAATAAAACAGTCGTTTCTGGCGGTTTGATTTTCGGACACAAGTACTTATATTGGGTTTATTGTCGTTGTTTTAGATTTTTTGCAACCGCTTTGTTTACCATCAGGTACTGATGTTCACAAAAACTACACCGGAGTAAAACTTGTCCAACCTGGTTGGGGTATAAACAATGAGAAGGTATCTAATTCTGTAAGAGTTAGAAGCACAGTAAGTTTGATTGATTGATAGTTAATTATTGTCGATAATGACAACATTTCTTGTTTAGGTAAAAGGTCAAAGCAGTGAAGAATGTGGCAAGATGTTTGGTTTTAATCTGAACCGAAGTCAACTGTGTACCATTAAGTCTGAAAGTCACAATAAGTTGTGCAGTTTGGATATTGGTGGTTCTGTAATGTCCATCGCGCTTACTGAAGACTATCCAAATTTTTACGCAGCTGGGGTGGCTTCTGCAGGAGCGTGTGGGGGAGGTCAACCTGCTTTGTATACCAAAGTGGGTGACTACAGTGACTGGATTGTTAGTAAATTAGAGAAATAATTAAAATCTCTGAGAAAAAGTAACTGATAATAAAATTTTTAAGTTGTCAACGAACACATCTCATTGTTTTATTTCACAATGTCGTACGAGTCATGACAGCCCATTAAAGCTTGAATTATCCCTATATTTTGCAAAGATGGTTATAAAACTCTCGATAAACATAATTTACGAACGAAGAAACGTTCTTAAGTGGCCGACTTTTTCACAAAATAATCCAAATGTCACTCTACTCCAAGCTCGTCCATCTTCTCCACTCGACATTCTTATTTATCCATAATCAATAACAATTATCTTCTTACCTCGTACAAGACAACATCAAACTAGAACAAGCCGTAAAAAACCAGACACTGACGTGTCGTCCGAAGAAGCCGAAGTCATTAATACCTGTAACCTGCAATGTAGCAACGTTAGAATGTCAATAGCTATAATTACGTCCCAACACAACCGATAGCAAAGATCCAGTTTTTCCATTTCACATTCTAAAACCCAATAAACGTATTGAAAGTTACAAATGAGACGGCCCGTCTTGATTTACGTCGAGATTGTGGACGTCTTCAATCTGTGATAGCTCGATGTCCGGAAAGACGGTGAGTTATTTTAATGGTATGTTTTTATCTGCGATCAAAAACGCACCAAATGACTGTATTTTACAGCGAGGATTCCGCGAAACGTTGGAACTGAAAAATGAAATCTGATTGCGGAGGTGGAATTTGGCGGTATTTGGTGATCATTGGAGTTTAGTTAATTAAGGAGGCGAGGGTATGCGAGGAATGCATTCTTGATGGTGGGTTTGTGGATCGTCGAAGGGTATTTGTGACGTGGTTGTTGATGCTACCTGAAACGAGTTTGACGAAATTGGTGTTTGAGTCAAGGGTTATGCATGGAGAGTGGACGTGCGTATTACTGGTTGCATATATGGAGATCTTAATGAATTAATACTTCGGGGGCAAAAATGACTGTATAATTAATAATAAATTACAAAGCTATAATATACAAATGTTCGTTCTTATTTCTCCAATTTACTGAGAATCCAGTCGCTATAATCACCCACTTTTGTAAATAGAATAGGCTCCTTTTCGTCACAATTTCCTGCCGAAGTTACTGCGACTGCGTATTGTCTCGAATACTGCGAAGAAACATTAAATCTCTCTTCAATTACATGACTTACAGAACCCCCAATATCTACAGTACATGAAGAGAAGGAAAATATTTCTTTAAAACCACACAGCTGACTCTGATCCAGAGTAAAACCAACCAGCTTGCTACATTCTTCATTGCTTTGACCCTTTACCTAAACAAAAAACGGTTATTACTGTTTAAACTGACAACAACCAGACTTACTTGATTTTTACTTCTCCTCCCATTAGACACGTTGTTGTTGTTTATACCCCAACCATGCTGGATCACTTTTATTCCAGTATAATTTTTGTTTGCAATAGTACCTGATGGTAAGCAAATCGGTCGAACAAAATCTACAAAAATCCAGTAAAACAAACACACATTCACTACTGAAATACTAACCGGTAAAAACAACCGTTTGATTAAGCCTGATCAAAGCAATATCATGCCGATAATTCGTATCGTTGGCGTCGTACTCCTCGTGAACAATACTCTTTTCAACCGGTACTTCGATAAATGGTTCCGCACACTCTGACCAATACCCCCTATAATACTCACAGTCTGGGTTCGTAGTGAAATTGTTCTCACCCAACCGCACACTCACTCTAAAACTCAAAATTATACATCGTGTTTAAGTAAAAATACGTGCAGTTACAGTTTTGCCCCTTCTAGAAAATTCCCTTTGATGCACTGAGCGGCCGTCAGGACGTACCGATCACTAATCAAAGTACCACCACAATAAATTTTTTCTTGGTTGTCTGCTTGGTACACCAGAACTGCAGTCCATGGAAGCTCCTCAAGAGAAACGTAAAAGCGAAAGAATTCCGTATAGTAAACTGCACCACAAGTATCCACTCCGGGCAATAAAGCATGCGTAAGAAAGGTACTACCTGTGGATTCTAGCTTGGTTGCGTTGGCGTTGGGGCAACAAACTTTCGGATGTTTTGCTTCAAAGCCGCAATGAGACTCTCTTAGAAATGTAGTGGTTTCTTGAGTCAAGTTGTCGTCAAGCAGAGAGTACAAAGGTGAACAGTCTCTAAGGGGTTTGCAGATACCTTGTTGTTTATCTGGAGTTTGACACATGTCTGCAAAAATTTGGTTTTTTTTGCAAACAATTAAATTATGGTTTTACCGTGGGCTGAACTCGTAGTGTAGACATACGCACAAACGAGAAGAGCGATTTTTAATAATTTTAACATTTTAGTTTGTCAATTTCAGAACATAAACTCGAGTTGATTGTCGGTACTCAAGTGGCCGTCTTTGATTCTTGGTTGGTATTTGTATGTAGTGCTTGCACTAGAGAGGCTGGAGCGGGAAAACCCCCAACATAAACATAATCGGACTTTCCGAAGTGGTCAATATATTTTGTGTTCTTGAAGACTTGATAATAACGCGAGGTCGAGCAGTTCCTTTGAAATTATAATTATTTTTTAGATTTCAAGTTGACAGCATTAATGCTTGAAGTAAAAGTGTAAACTATTCAGGACGTAAAAGAAAATGAAACAAAACTAAGAATAAAGGAAACTTTAATTTACGAGAGGTGATGTTTGATTGGTGACCATTTTGTGAAGTTTAATTAGTTAAGCAGGCGAGAGTGTGGGAGGAATGCGTGCTTAATGGTGGGTTTCTGGTTCCTCGAAGGGTATTTATGACGTGGTTATTGATGGTTACCGAAACGAGTTTAACGAAATTTGTTTAATTCAAGTTGTTGTTGAGTCAAAGGTTATATATAAAGAGTGGACGTGTATTGCTGGTTGCTTGCCAAAATCGAAACCGAAATTGTTTATAACCAACAATAAATTACAAAACTTGGTGAAAAGGCTGTAGAAATATACAACTGTCACTTCTTATTATTTCTCCAATTTACTGAGAATCCAGTCGCTATAAGCACCCACTTTGGTATATAAAATAGGCTTATTTTTGTCACAAGTTCCTGCTGAAGTTACAGCGGCTGCGTAATGTCTCACATTCTGTGAATAATCATCAAAAATTGTTACAATTACAGAACTCCCAATATCTAGACTACACGAAGAGTAACTTGAGTATTTAATTCCACACAGTTGACTCTGGTTGAAAGTAAAACCAAACATCTTGCCACATTCTTCGTTGTCTTGACCCATTACCTAAACAAAAAACTCTTGCTGCCATCTAAACTGACAACTACTAAACTTACTATATTTTTAGTTTTCTCTGGACTAAAAACCTTGTTGTTGTTTATACCCCAACCAATCTGCATCATTCTTATTTTAGTATAGTTTTTGCTTACATCAGTATTCAATGGTAAGCAAACCGGTGCAACAAAATCTACAAAACTCCAGTAAAACAAACATACATTCATTACTGACATACTAACCGTTAAAAGCAACAGTTTTATTAAGCCTGATCAAGGCAATATCATGCCGATAATTTGTATCGTTAGCATCGTACTCCTCGTGAACAATACTCTTTTCAACCGGTACGTCGATAAATGGTTCCGCACAGTCCGTATATAATAACCCAAAACGCTCACAATCTGGGTTCGAAGTGAAATTGTGCTCACCCAAACGCACGCTTACGCTAAAACTCAAAATTGTAGTCTTGTTTAAGTAAAAACACGTGTAGTTACAGTTTTGCTCCTCCTGGAAGATTCCCGGTGATGCACTTAGCGGCCGTCAGAACGTATCGATCACTTATTAAAGTACCACCACAATAAATTTTCTGTTGGTTGTCTGCTTGGTACACCAGAAGTGCAGTCCATGGGAACTCGTCAAGTGAAGTGCTTGAGCCACCGAATAATTTGCTATTGGTAGGTATACCACAGGTATCTACTCCGGGCAATAAACTGTGCGCAAGAAAGGTACTACCTGTGGTTGCGTTGGCGTTGGGGCAACAAACTTTCGGATGTTTTGCTTCATAGCCGCACTGAGATTGTCTCAAGTACGTAATGGTTTCTTCTGTCAAGTTGTCAAGGAGAGAGTACAAAGGTGAGCAAGTTTTAAAGGGTTTGCAGACGCCTTGTTGTTTGTCTGGAGTTTGACACGCATCTGCAAAGAACTGGTTGATTTTTTGCAAATAATGAAATTGTGGTTTTACCGTGGGCTGAACTTGTAGTGTAAACATAGGCACAAACGAAGAGAGCGATTTTTAATAATTTTATCATGGTTGTTTAAAGCGTGAACTCGAGTTGAGTCTTGGTACTCAAGTGGCCGTCTTTGATTCTTGATGGGTATTTGTACCTAGTGCTTGCATTGGAGAGGGTCGACCGGGAAAACCCTCTACATAAACTTCTACTTACCGCTGGAATTTTATATTATAATTAAAGCACAGATATTCTGTTTATACTTCGCAATAAATTGCAAAACTGTTTTAGAAATATATATAGACACCCATTTTGGTATAAATATACAATGCTTCCTGGGGAAGCTACTCCGACTGCGTAATTTTTCACATCGTCATCGTATGAAGAAACATCAATCCTGGAATATTCCCTTTGATGCACTGAGCGGCCGTCAAGACGTACCGATCACTAATCAAAGTACCACCACAATAATTTTTTTCTTGGTTGCCTGCTTGGTATACCAGAAGTGCAGTCCATGGGTACTGTTGGACAAAAAATTTTGGGCCAATCGCCATTCTCAAAATCATAGACCAACCACAAGTATCTAATCGGGGTAGTAAAGCGTGAGTAAGAAGGGTAACACCTTTAGGCTCTTCTAATTTAGTTAGGTTAATTGAAAAACTGCAAAAAACTTGTTCTTTTTTCGTAAATAATGGAATAAATTATAGGTTTACCGTGAGCTGAACTTGTAGTGTACACATACGCACAAACGAGGAGAGCTCTTTTTAATATCTTTATCATGGTGATGACTTTCGGTACTCAAGTGGCTGTTTTTTTTTTCTTGGTTGGTATTTGTTTCAGTGCTTGCGTTGGAGTGGTAAAACCCCGACAAAAATATAATCCAACTTTCCCCGGGATTGGCTGATAAGTTCTTGAACTCTTGATGACATCGCGACATCAAAAAAAAGATTGGTCAAAGTTATTATAAGGTTATTAATGCTGCTATATTTATGTGTTTTCAATGATACGACACGAGATATCGTAAAATACAACACAAAACAATTATTAAAATTTGTTTATTCATAACACGTAGGAAGTTGCTGACGTCATCACAAATATTTATGTAATAAATAATGGATAAAAATGTGGTTCGACATATAATGTTGTTTGTGTTTTAGTATGATATTTAAATTTTTTAGAATTATTTAAAAAATATACTAAAAAAGTACAGTAAGTAATTAAATGAATAAATAATAGATATTCAAAGGTTTTAGACATAAATTAGGGTTTAATGTTATTAATAATCCATGGAATGTACTTTGACACTTTAACATACACCGACGGTGTGCCTTCTTGTCCACAGGGGTTATTCGACCCGTAAGACACTATTCCTGCTATGTACCACCGGATGCCCCTGTACATCAAAGGCCCCCCACTATCACCCGTACAGGTGTCCTTCCCTTTTTCACCCCCAGCACAAATCTGGCTTTCCTGCAACGTTATCTCGTCAGTGCGAAAAGCTTTCCGAAGTCCAGCAACACACTGAGCTAGAGGTATCCCAGGAACCTAAATACAAAAAAACTGAAACATTAAGAAACACAGATAACCTCTTTACCACAAGTTTGAGTTTCACTTCACTCGGAACCTTCGCCTCAGTTTTGCCCCAGCCTGCAACAACCAGGTTTTTTCCTGTGTAAGACATTCCTATCTCATTTGGAGTTGTAGGAAGACAAATCGGACTAATAAAATCTGCAATTCGTGAAATATAATACACATTGTGATTAGTTGTAGATTTTTACCCCCAAATTCAATCTCGCGTCGCAGTCGCAACAAGCCGATGTCGTTGCGAAAACTGGTCTTGTCTTTGTAAGGGATTTGTCTCTCGATGGGGACGTCGATGACCTCCGGGGCGCAGTCGCTGCCGAATGTACTTACGGCACAATCGGGATTCGTGGTGGTGTTCCATTCCCCGACGCGCACCCTTTTTCTAAATATACTACCTCAGCAAAATTTTTGGTGGTGAAATTCACACTTACAAAGTTGTCGAAAGGCAGTGCCTGGCCGTCAGCACGTATCTTTTCGTAATGAGGGAGCCCCCACACCCAAACCTGAGAGTCCCGTTTTTGGCTAAAATAGTCACTTGGGTTACTTGAGTACATGGTAGGCGCTCGACGCCACTTACACTCGTATTGCAATAGAACCATCCAGGTATACTCGTCGATGCTGGTTTTATTGCCTACCACGATTCTACTTTCGGTGCTCATTCCACACTCGGCCTTACTGGGTAAGAGTTCGTTGGGTGGCAAAGACACAGGGGAATCTGGTGGACAGCACACTCTCGAGTTTCCACACTTTGGTGTCCGTGGAACGTCCCCAGTCAAAGACGGACATTCTTGTCTTGGTTTGCAAGTGCCGTTTTGGCCGGTGGAAGTTCGGCAAAAGTTTGTCTGTGGTTTTGGCACAACACTACTGGCAGGGGGTTCGAAGACTGGGGCGTCTTTAGGACAACAGACATTGGGATTTGTTTTGTCACTGTCAACATTGCAAAGAGATTGTCTTAAATATGTTGCCGTTTGGTTGGTGAGGTTGTCCAGAAGAGAGTACAAAAACGAGCATTGTTTGAGGGGTTTGCACTGGCCTTGCTTATTGTGGGGGGTCTTGCAAGCTATAAAATTGAAAAATAATAATCTTAGATTGAACTTTTGTGTGTGGAACAAAATGTGGTTCATAACTACGGAGCTTCCGATCTTAAATTCAAATTCCATTTACCTACAGCCGATTGTCTTAAATTTGGCTCTTTCGGACAGCAAACCCTAGGATTAGTGTTATCGCTCCCACCACCACACCGAGATTTTCTTAAAAAAGTTACTTTTTGCTCTGTGAGGTCGTCTAACATCGAATACAAAACTGAACACTCTTTAATTGGTTTACATTCTCCTTCCAGAAAGTCCGGAGTATGGCAGCCTGTCAAAAAATTTAGTTTCATTGTCGTTAATAACCCATTTTTCCAATTTGCTTAGCCAAACCTTGACATTTAAAGAAACATTCGTGATTTTATGCATTAGTCATAAATTATGTAATATTTTGTCAAAACCTAGAGAAATTTTGTACTTACCGCTAGCCACATCTTCAAAACGAGGTAACTTCCTGGGGCAACACACGTTCGGATTTGTTTTGCTGCTGGTGCCACCGCACAGAGATCTTCTTAAGTAAGTAGTCGTTTGGTTTGTTAGATTATCTAGCAAGTTGTACAACAACGAACAGTCTTTGAGTGGTTTACATTGCCCTCGCTGATTATCCGGAGTTTGACAGGCTGCAAGTAAAACACAAACAATATTTTTGTGGGGCTATAATTACACTTGTAGAACAAACCTGAAGCAATATTCGTCACTGTCATTAAGCAAGCGCACACTGCAGCTGTCGTTTTTAGCAAAATCATTTTCACTTACGTTGTGTTCCACGGTCAGAATTATATCAACTGACCTCTTGTATCATCTTGAGTCATTTGCAGACGGAATCTACGTGCTCTAGAGGGAAATCCACAATCAACAAGCAGATAAAAGAGGTACGGGAAGTTGTTCTAAAATCGTATTTGTGGCGAAATTTGGTGATGTCATCACAAACAAGACAGGTACTCCCCCAAAATCACACTTAACCAAAAAAAAAAAAAAACTGGTAGCTATAATATATTTCGAATTACATAATACAAATCACACACTACAAACTTAAAAATAAAATTCGCACTATGGTTTCAAGTTACTGATGATCCACTCCATGTAGCTTCCAACTCTGGTGTACACCTTCGGGTAATGATCCTTGCCACAACACGGCCCTTCCAGAGCCAAAATCCCCACCGCCGAGTACGAATTATCCTTATCAACGTGCATTAAAACCCCACCCAAATCCGTCCGGAACGACTGACGACGACTCAAACTTTTGCCTCCAGCACACAACTGGGAATCCTTCAACCTCACCTCCGTCGAGTTGTACACCAGGTGGCACTCACTCTTCTCCCAAACCGTGGCCTCAAAACCCAAAATTACTCACAAACACCCACCCCAAACCAACTTACCACTCCCTCGCGCTTCTTCACTCCATCACCGTGCTTCTCGTACCCCGCCACCGACAAGATCTTCCCCAAAAAGCTCTTCTTGTTGTCCGTCGGGATACAAATAGGCCTTGCGAACCCATCCTTGAAAGAAACCTTGTTCTTCAAACGTACTAACGCCACGTCGTGGTATCTGTTGGGGTCGTTAGGGTCGTACTCCTCGTGGACTGTCGTACCGTCGGTTTTCAGCACCAACTCTTCGGAGTCGCCGCCGTGGAACTTCCCCAAATGCGCGTTCACCCTAACGGTTATTTCAGTTCAAGCATCCACACAGTGTGTTTGACTTACAGTTTGAAGTTGTGGAGGTTTGACACGCAGTGAGCGGCTGTTAGGACGTATCTCTTGTTGATAAGGACCCCTCCACATAAAAATGCGCGTTCGCCGATAGCTAAAAGCCGCACTTAATTTTGACTAAAACGAGAAATCATACGTACGGTTTTCGTATTCGAGGAGGGTTAACCAAGGGTCTGAAGGTCCGTCTGGTTCGTGCAAGCCACATTTAGTTGCGTGTTGGTTGTGGGAGATGGCGCCTCCTTCTTCGAAGAGTTTGATGGCTTCTGCAGGACAACACACTTTGGGGAAGAGCATGGATTCGAACCCGCAGTGAGATTTTCGAATTAGCTCTTTGGCGTTTTTGTCGGTTTGGTTCCGGGTGATAACGGAGAATAAGTGAGGGCAGTGGTTGATTAAGACGCATTTTCCGGGTTGCTGGGTTGGGGTTTGGCAGGACTGAGCTGAATAAGATGGTTGGTAATTGGTGATGGTGGCTTGACACCCCAAGAAGAAGAGGAAGAGAAGGATGAGGGACATGGCGAGACTGACTGAAGCGGACTATCGCAGAGCACTAGCTTGCGATAACCCCGACGATGTAAATAAAACAGTCATTAACATTGTGGTCTTATTTCTTATCACGGTTGAGTTACAGAGATCAACAATTTTGTTCTAGAAAATCTTATTCTTCACAAACAAAGACCTAAATATAATTGGTTGTCGGGTTAAGGTTTGACGTTGCTGATTATCCATCGCACGTACTTAGCTACTTTAACGTAAACCCCGGGTCTGTTTGCTTGTCCGCAGTCACCTTTGGGTCCAAACGACACTATTCCGACAACGTACCATTCCCTCCTCTGGTTGTACATTAAAGGTCCTCCGCTGTCCCCAAAACACGAATCTTTTCCTTCTTCTCCCCCAGCACAAAGCTGTCCATCGTGCAAGTTTATATCCGCTTGGAAAGTTTCTCTCAACCCCATCTCACACAAAGGCAAGGGCCGCCCTGGAACCTACACGAAACTACCTCAAGAACTAACCCACCACTCCATTCTCACCAAAACTTTGAGCTTTATTGGGCTCGACGTAGCGTTTTCGGTGGCCCCCCAGCCAGCAACCGCAAGTTTTTTTCCAACGTACGTCTGGGTGAGGTCTTCCGGTGCAGTCGGAAGACAGATGGGACTAACAAACCCTGAAAGTTATTGATCAGAAGTACCACCAACCTTCAGTACCACTCACCGGTATACTCCACTTCTCTACTCAGTCTTAAGAGACCTATATCCCCCTGGGCACTCGTTTTATCTTCATAAGGTATTTGCTCTTCCACCGGTACGTCAATCACTGGAGGGGCACAGTCCGGTCCAAATTTATGTATAATGCAATCGGGATTCGATGTGGTGTTCCACTCGCCCAAGCGGACGCTAATTCTACAAAAAACCAATCAACCATGAACATTTAAGGCGCTAGTTTTACAAATTCTTCCGGAGGCAGTGCCGTGCTGTTAAAATGTATCTCTTACTGATAAGAGCGCCCCCGCATTTGAAAACAGTGCGGCCGCTTTTTACTAAAACAGTGGTTTAGTTTTCGGTACTCAATTTCCGTAGTCTTACACTTGTACTCCAACAGTGCTAACCATGGAAACTCGTCGATGTCGGTTTTGTTGCCTCCTATTATCTTCGGTTCAGTGACGAGCCCGCAGTCCGTCTTGCCTGGTAGTACGGTTTCGTTTTTTGGCGGTGGTAGCGACGAACCCAGGGGACAACACACTTTGGGGTACACACCGGCAGTACCGCACTGCGACTGGCGCAAGTAGGTGGCAGTGGTGCTCGAAATGCTGCTTTGGAAGAGGGCAAAAATCGACGGGCACTGGTTGATGGGTATGCAGTTGCCCTCTTGGCCGTTAGGAGTTTCGCATGGGGTCTCTGTGTGGAGAGAGTGACTTAGAAAAGTAGTTTGGGTTTTTTGTTACTTACCAGCGGTGATGATTTGGATAATTAGGGATAAAATTAGAGCACGGTTGGTGAACATGGTTGTGTGTGTGACGTGAGTGCAAATGAGAATGAGATGTTCGAAAGTTGTAAAGTGACCTTCAACCGTATGCATATATCGTTGACCTATGACGGGCCTATCAGTTGGGGGAAACGTTGGTTGTGGTTTTTTATAACAAATATAGAATGGTTTATTTTGCGAACGGTTTCTGCGAAGTTGTTTTTCTGGATTTTCCCGTAATAGATAGGAGTACTAAATTTTAAATGGGTCAAGGACAGTAGATTAAAAACACTCATAAATCACTCTAACCATCTAATATTAACATGTAAAATTTATAAATTTGGAGAAAGATTATCGTTACAGTTTGCATTTTTAAGGTTTCAAATTTTCTACTATCCAACCCATGTACTTAGCCACTTTGGTGTAAACACCAGGGTTTACCCCACACGATCTCTCAAAAGAAACTACACCAATAGAGTACCACTGAACATCGTCAAATTCGTTCCTCTTGTAGACCATGAGCGGTCCTCCACCTTCACCTACGCAAGTACTTTTATTATCACCAGCACATAACTGACCATCATCTAATTTTATATTTTTGTATTTGAGACTACATTCGTAAATAGATTTTCCAAGAATCTGAAAAGAGGCATTAAGAAAATGTTCTATAAATGTGGGTACTACCTGTGCTTTCAGTTTTATTGAACTGTTTTGGCCCCAACCAGCTACCATAAGATTTTCACCGAAGTGAGAACTGTAAATTTCGTCTGTGGTAGCTGGTAGACAAATGGGTTTAATAAAATCTACGAACAAAGCAAATTATATACCTGTATGTTCCAACGGAAAAGTACTTACCCGAGTACTTAACTTTGTCCGTTAATCTTAGGAGTGCTATGTCGTGGTAAACACTAACATCTGAACTATTGTAACTTTCGAAAGGGATTTTTTCCTCTATTTTGACACTACGATGCGGTAGGGCACAATCCGTGTCAATACAGTCAACATCACTCGTTATATTGTATTCGCCCAGACGGACACTTTTTCTAAAACAAACAATAAAGACAAATTCCCTCCATGTACCAAAAATGGTTACAAATCTGGTTTAAGACAATGCGCAGCCGTTAGAACGTATCTATCATTAATCAGAACTCCCGTGCCATTAAGACGTACCACACCACCTACATCTATAATAATAAAGTAATAAAGTCGTCTGGTTTTACACTCGCAACCACTGACCGTCTCTATACTCCAACAAAACCAACCAAGGAAACCCATCTATATCTGTTCTATTTCCACCCAAAATTTTTCTATCGACACTAATCCCACACGAATCTTTATCTGGCAACAAATCACTCGAAACAAACGTAAAAGTGTCTTCCGGAACTTCGTCCGAAGAACTAAGAGGACAGCAGACTTTGGGTAAGGTTGGTGTGAAACCACAATGGGAGCGTCGTATCCATTCCGTGATGCGTCCATTCGTGGAACCATTTTCGTAGTGGGGGTAAAGCCATGGGCATTCGTTGATGGGTATGCATTGGCCGTGTTCTCCATTTGGTGTTTGACATGGTACGACTTTATTTGGGGTTAAATGTGGCTTTTATTACACCGATACTTACCTGCTTTCGTAACGTGAATTAGTACTGCTAGTACTAGAGTATATTTTAACAGCATCTTGACGATTTTGGTAGTACTTAAACCTTCAAGTGTTCTTTTTATAGCTTATAATGGCTTAGTTTGCAAAACTAAGTTCTTGGGTCAATGTTGATTTTGTTATCGTGTATTTTTTTCTAAAAATGCTTGTGTGTGGATTCGTTTGACTTAGATAAGACGAATTTGCTGCGTTTTTGTTGTAATTTTATTTTCAAATGATTTAGACAGGGTTACAGGTGAAATATTTTGGTTTTTTTTCGTTTAAGGTCTGATGGTGTCTTCAATCCACGTCATATACTTTGAAATGCGAGCAAAAGTAGTTGGTTGGTCCGCCTGGGCACATGGATCTGGTCCATTAGACACGACACCAATAGCAAACCAACGCGTGTCACCCATCACTCGTCCTTCGATCATCAAAGGTCCACCACTATCCGCAAAACACGCACCCGTTCCTTCCTGTCCTCCAGCAAGTATCAAACCTTCATCGTAGTCAAAATATTTTGTCGAGCTGACGATTGGAACCTTACAAACAACACATAAATACTGACCAACTTCTGAGGAAAACTTACGTTAGCTTTAAGTAGAACTTTACTATATTTCCCTGTTTCCGTGAGACCCCAACCTGCCACTATGACGTTATTTTCTCCACGGTACGACCTATATACATCTTTTACGGTTGTTGGTAGACACACCGGTTTAATAAAATCTGGAACAAAGATATTGGAAGTTTTTATATTGTTATTTTTTTCCATACCAGAAAACTCGACTTCCTCTTTCAAACGTAGCAAAGCTATGTCGTGGTACTGGTTTTTCTTGTACGTTTTGAAAACCACACGTTCTACGACGTCTACACTGAGATACTTCGGAGCACAATCTCCATCCTTATCGCAATCTGGGTTAGTCCTGAGGTTGTGTTCACCCAGTCGCACGCTCCTCCTAAAATAAGTAGTGTAAAAGTGTAGGTAGTACCGGTGTCGGTACTTACAATCGCGGCTCCACACAGTGCGCTGCCGTTACAACGTATCTCTTGCTAATCAAAGTGCCCCCACATCTAACATCTATAAAAGTGTTCCCCGATCTCTTACTATCTGTAACGCAGTTGTTATTCTTGGCTAGTCAACTTTTGACCGCAAGCTTACGCATCTCGTACTCCAGTGCAGCCATCCATGGGAATTCGCCTAGTTCGGTGACGTTGCCGCGAAATATTTTGGAGTAGCTGGAAATTCCGCATTCTTCTCGACTGGCAAGTAGATCGGTTTTGACAAACTGGGAATTTTCGTCTAGACTCGTGTCCCTAGTGCTGAGCGGGCAGCAGACTTTGGGTTCTTCACCCTGGAATCCACATTCGGAATGCCACACAAACCGGGCTTTGAGTGGGTTCTGGTCGCCAACGTGGGCGTTGATGGACTGGCAGGTTTGGATGGGTTTACAGCGGCCGTGTTGACCGTCGGGCATCATGCAAGGAGGATAGTCATCGATGCTCTGGCGTTTGATTTTGGAAGAAATTGTGGGGAGTGAGGAAGTGGATCCTTAAACAACAAATTTAAATATCTCTCCACGCAGATGAAAATTAAATCAATTTCTTTTTTGAGGAAATTAATTACTTACCAGAACTAATAAAGTGGACCAGCAGCAGCCCCACTGTGAAAGCTTTTACGAACATTCTTCAATTTTCTGAGAAAATTGTATTGTCATCAAGCGATGGAATTATCACTGGAAGTTATATCTTTCTGACTATGTTTTATATGTGAATTTTTGCTAAAATGCAGTTTTAATTTAAAATAGATGTGTTTATTTGGTGATAAATTTTTGCGTACGTGTTTTTAAATTTGCTGACCATTTTTTGTGTTGATATCTAATTATGAACTTTGATTTTGTATTGAAATTGAGACTGGTAAATATGATATTATTTTTAATGATGTCAGATATATTTAGCAGATTATTTTGCATTTTTTTTTCTAAGTAATTCTTCTAAAAATACTAGGTTTATGTTTTAAATTTTTATTTCTAATAGGTTTATACAGGGTTCTTAAAAAGCTATTTAAATTTTTTTAAGAGTAATAAATTCCATATTTCCGAGAACTGATGTTGTCCTCAATCCACGTCATATACTTTGAAATACGAGTGTAAGCACTTGGTTGGTCCGCCTGGACACATGGAATTGGCTCAAAAGACATCACACCTATAGCGTACCACCGCGCTTCTCCCATCACATGTCGTTTGATCATCAAAGGCGCACCACTAAAACCATCACAAGGACCTTTTCCTTCTTCTCCTCCAGCAAATACCATTGCCATATCGGCGCCAAAATATTTACTAGCGTTGACGACAGGGACCTTATAAACAACCCATGATCATTGAACAACTTCCGAAAAAAACTTACTTCAGCTTTGAGAAGACTTTCGTCATTATAATAATTTATTCCTGTCCGGCCCCAACCTGCCACCGTGACTTTTTGTCCAACGTATGACCTATACAGTTCTTCTACGGTTGTTGGTAGACACACAGGTTTAATGAAATCTGAAACAAACCTAGCTAACATTCTTTAAGTTATTAATTGCTCTTTCATACCAGAAAACTTGACTTCCTCTTTTAAATATAGCAGAGCTATATCATGGTACCCATGTTTTTTGTACGTTTTGAAGATCACAGATTCTTGTATGTCCACACTGAGATACTTCGGAGCACACACACCAAGGCCGTCGCAGTCTGGGTTAGTGTTGAGTTTGTATTCTCCTAATCGCACTCTCTCTCTAAAACAGCTAATGTAGAAGTATTGGTGGTACTTGCGTCAGTACTTACAATCCCTCTTTAACGCATTGCGCTGCAGTCAAAACGTATCTTTTGCTAATCAAAACGCCCGCACATTGAATATCTGGAACCATCTCCTTGGATCTTTCATCATCTGTAACTCACTTATGACTTCTGTTAGTCATATTTTGACAGCGTGCTTACACTTCGAGTACTCCAATGCCACCATCCATGGAAATTCGCCAAGTCTGGTTTCTTCGCCGTCATATGTCTCGCGAAAGCTGCTAATTCCGCACTCTTCCAAGCTAGGAAGTAGGTCGGTTTTGACAAATGGGGAAGTTACTTCTGGCTCGGAGTCTCTAGCGGTCACCGGGCAGCAAACTTTAGGATTTCCATATCGGAATCCGCATTGCGAATGCAGGAGAAAAAGGACTAAGACGCGCCGGTCGTCGTTAACGTAGGCGTTGAAAGCATAGCACATTTCAAGGGGTTTACACCGGCCGTGTTTGCCGTAGGTTGTGAGGCAAGGAGGAAAGTCGTGGGTGCTCTGGCGTTTGATTTTGGACGAAAGGGTAGGGAGTGAGGAGGTGGATCCTTAAAGAGAAAGTTTATAGGTAAAATAAGCACAATCAATTTCTTTTTTAGAAAATTAAGTGACAATTCATTACTTACCACAATTACTGAAGTGGGCCAACAGTAGCACCACTCCGAAAGATTTTATGAACATTGTTAATATCTGGAATTTTATGGATAACAAAAACATTTCAGACAAGAATGTACATTTATAAAATAAAATTAAAAAATGGAGAACATTGAGTTTGCTTACCAAAGCTTCTGGGAAAATTTTTATCTTCAGCAGGCGATGAGGTACACTAGATACTATATATTTCTGATACTACTTTATATGCGAATTTATGCTAAAATGCACTTTAATTTAAAATAGATGTGTTTATTTGGTGATACATTTTTGCTTACGTGTTTTTAAATTTGCTGACCATTTTTTGTGTTGATATCTAAATATGACCTTTGATTTTAAATGAACTTAAGACTGGTAAATATGAAATTATTTTTAATTAAATCTAATTTAGCAGATTATTTTCGATTTTTCTGCCAGTTGTTATCGTCTATTTTTTTGCTGAGTAGTAAAAATATCTGTAAGGAATTCACTAGGTTTTTGTTCCCAATTTTTATTTTAAGATGGTTTAGACAGGGTGAGATGACAGGTACTTAAAAAACTATTTAGAATTTTTTAAGAGTAATAAATGTCCTCTTTCGGAGAACTGATGTTGTCTTCAATCCACGTCATATACTTTGAAATACGAGTGTAAGCACTTGGTTCGTCCGCCTGGGCACATGGAATTGACCCATAAGACAGCACACCAATAGCGTACCACCGGGCACCTCCCATCACCTGTCGTTTGATCATCAAAGGCGCACCATTAAACCCATAACAAGGACCTTTTCCTTCTTCTCCTCCAGCAAATACCAAACCCACGTCGGGGCCAAAATGTTTAGTAGAGTTGACAACAGGAACCTTATTATATATACATTATCATTGACCAACTTCCTGGAAAAACTTACTTCAACTTTAAGCAGCATTTCGTTATTATAATAACTTGTTGCTGTCTGACCCCAACCTGCCACCGTGGCTTTTTGTCCAACGTATGACCTATACAATTCCTCTACGGTTGTTGGTAGACACACAGGTTTGATAAAATCTGGAGCAAATTAGCTGAAATTCTCTAAGTTATTAATTGCTCTTTCATACCAGAAAACTTGACTTCTTCGTTTAAATACAGCAGTGCTATGTCGTGGTACTCCTGTTTTTTGTACGTTTTGAAGATCACAGATTCTTGTATGATCACACTGAGGTACTTCGGAGCACACACACCATCGCCGCAGTCTGTGTTAGTCTTGAGGTTGTGATCACCCAATCGTACCCTCTCTCTAAAACAGCCAATGTAGAAGTATTGGTGGTACTTGCGCCAGTACTTACAATCCCTCTTTCACGCATTGCGCTGCAGTCAAAACGTATCTCTTGCTAATCAAAACGCCCGCACATTGAATGTCTGGAACCATCTCCTTGGTTCTTTTATCATCTGCAACTCAGTTATCACTTCTAGTCATATTTTGATCGCGTGCTTACACTTCGAGTACTCCAACGCCACCATCCATGGAAATTCGCCCAGTTTGGTTTCTTCGCCGCCATCTGTGTTGCGAACGTTGCTAATTCCGCACTCTTCCAGGCTAGGAAGTATGTCGGTTTTGATAAATGAGGAATTTCCTTCTGGCTCGGAGTCGCTGGGGGAGAGAGGGCAGCAAACTTTGGGATCTTCATCTAGGAATCCGCATTCGGAATGCCGAAGGAAAAGGACTTTGGCGCGGTGGGGGTCGCCAGCGTGGACGTTGAGGAAGTGGCAGGTTTCGAGGGGTTTACACCGGCCGTGTCTGCCGTGGGGTGTTTGGCAAGGGGGAAAGTCGGCGAGGCTCTGGCGCTTGATTTTGGAGGAAAAGGTGGGGAGTGAGGAGGTGGATCCTTAAAGAGAAAGTTTATAGGTAAAATAAGCACAATCAATTGTGAAAATTTATTACTAACCATAACTAATGAAGTGGGCCAGCAGTAGCACTACTCTGAAAGATTTTACTAACATTGTTTGAAAAAAATCTTCAGCAGGCGATGACATACAATAGATTCTATATATTTCGGGCACTACTTTATATGCGAATTTATGCTAAAATGCAGTTTTAATTTAAAATAGATATATTTATTTGGTGATAAATGTTTGCCTACGTTGTTTTTAAATATGCTGACTATCTTTTGTGTTGATATCTAAATATAAACTTTGATTTGAAAATAAATTTACAGCAATTATTAACAAATACAGATATCTCTTTAGCCATTCGGCAAATTATTTTGATGTGTAATAATAAATATTTAGTTGTAATGCTATCATAAATACAAATACAACTTGTATTCCTACGTCTTGACCATTAAAAAGAATTTTGTTCAAATCGGCCCTAAAAGAGTCCTGTCGTCTGTATTTTCTTTCCAAATTAAAAAAAAACTAGGTTACATATTTTGACATTTTTATTTTATCAAAACAGTCAACTTTGCTAAATTTTATCTTCAGTTAAAAATACCAGAAGGAGTTCAAATTTTGATCTTCAAGGTTCCATGTTGTGTTCAATCCAAGTCATATACTTCGAAACCCGGGTGTAAGTCCCCGGCTCGTAAGCTAGTGCACACGGATCCGACCCACCAGACACTATACCAACGACGTACCAACCTCCCCTTCGTGAAACCATCAAAGGTCCGCCGCTGTCCCCCAAACACGAGCCTATTCCTACTGCACCTCCAGCACACAAAACGCCCTCATCACTACCATAAGAACAAACAGTCAAGTTCACGATGGGAACCTGATAAACCAAAAGTGAGAAAACAAAAAACCTGAAAACACATATGGTACTTCGACTTTAAGTAGAAAATCACTGTAGTCATCTTTTTCAGTCAAGCCCCAACCCGCCACAATGGATTTTTCGCCAATAAAAGAGTGATACAACTCGCCCACAGTTGTTGGAAGACAGATGGGTTTGACGAAATCTGAATAAGTAACTTCGTGTTGTAACCGTAGGAGCGCTATGTCGTGGTACTTTTCGGGTAATCTTTGGTACGTTTTGAAGATTATCTGTTTTTCTATGGGCACACCGATGTATTTTGGGGTACACGTACCAGATCTGTCGCAATCTGGGTCAGTTTTCAGCAGTGGCGGCTGGTGGGTCAAAATTTCGGGTCGGCCAAATATTTTGAGTCTACACCTTGGTGTTATATATTTTCGTAATGTATGGCTGCTACTCATTAACCACTGACATTTTACGTGCCAGGATGTACAAAACATCTCAAATGTTTCGACCTGTTAAAATAATTTTTTATAGGAAATTGACAATGTCAGTTTGATTCCAAATACTATTAATCCTTAATTCTACTTGTTCTGCTTTATCATTAATTGAGAACCACCGAAAACATTATTTTTACTGAGTTCCGCGTCGACCGGCGGCTATACGGCTTGCCGACCCCGGACATCCACAATTAAATAATAATAATTAAATAATGACATGCAGTTAAAAAATATAAAAAAAGTAATAATAAAAGTACCAACTGTTAACTATCTTCATTTACATTTATTTATTTTTAATGTATATGACAAATTGTCAAATAAATTAATTGAATAATTGAAAAATTAAAATGATTTAAAACTTTAAATTCGTTTCTGAAATATCTGAAAACGCTTAGATGCTAAAAATACAGAAAAAGCGCATTTATGGTGTAGCTAAGTTATGTACGAAAAATAAAATTTTAGATAATTTAATGTAATTTTTTTCGTTTATTATTCATACACAGAAAAATGTATTAAATCGACAATTATTATTTAAAAAAAAATAGTATGCACTGAAGAACATCGAAGCCGTTATTGTTTTGTAATTTGGTTAGCTATCTTAAATATTAAGCGTTTTAAAAACTAAATTCGCGTTGCTGGGTACGGCGAAGGAGGATTTCGCCGGACCTGGCACAACATACGTTCCGCCAGGTCTTTGTCTACTACAGTGTACTAGACAAAGAGAACGATGAAACCGTAAGCTGCTACGAAGTCGAAACATCGAGCATAATGCATTCCTGGGTACGGCTTGCCGAAATCTCGCCGGCAAAGCGTGTTTATCAGCATTTAAAATTAGCAACAAATGCTTTATTTTGTACCTACAATATAATAAAATATATTTTTAATATATATGATCTATCCTAACGTACATTCAAACTTTATTTCTTTTTTTATTTTCTAATTTCAACGCTTACTAAGTATTTTAAAATGACTGGTACGGCGTGGCCGACCCTGCCGCCCCTGACCAGCCGCCCCTGGTTTTCAGGTTGTTTTCACCCAGTCGAACGCGCACTCTACAAAAGCGAACCACGAACTTTGGAAGGAATACTTTTGAGTACTTACAATTTCGGGTTCATACAGTGAGCTGCTGTTAGAACATATCTCTTACTGATGAGAACGCCGCCGCATTTGACATTCGGAATTATTTTCTTTGATTTCTTGTCATCTAGAAAGTCGCACAATATTTTACGTTTTAACTTGTGATGTTCTTACATTTCTTGTACTCTAGTGCTACCATCCACGGGAATTCCCCCAATTTGACCTTCTCACCCCCGAAGATTATCATTTTCGGGTAATAAGGAGACGTACACTGGTCTGCTGTGGCGAACAAACCGGGTTTAACAAAGGTTGACGAGTCGTCTGGAATCTCCTCCCTGGAGAAAACCGGGCAGCAAACTTTGATTTCTTCGTCTTGAAATCCGCAATGGGAGTGCCACAGAAAGCGGGCCTTGTGTGGGTTAGGATCGTCGACTAGGGCCTTGAGAGACTGGCAGTTTTTCAGTGGTTTACACAGGCCGTGTTTGCCGTTGGGTGTCTGGCAAGGAGGATAGTGGTGGGGGATTTTGGAGGAAAGGGTAGAGGATGAGTAGGTAGATCCTTAAACAACAATTCAAATATTTTTGGTTCGAAAATGATCAACGAAAGAGAAACAAACATGAAAGTGAAAATAAAGTTGCAGAAAATATGCAGATAAAATAAACACAATCAATTTCCTTTTTTTTCAGAAACTTAAGTGAAAATTCATTACTTACCACAACTAATGAAGTGCACCAGCAGTAGCACCACACCGAAAGATTTGACGAACATTGTTTAAAAAATATCTGAAATTTTAGATACAATAAAAAAAAATTCAAGCAAGAATGTAAATTTATAAAAAAAAAAATAAAAAAATTAAGAACATTGAGTTTCCTTACCAAAGCTTCTGAGAAAATTTTTATCTTCTGCAGGCGATGAGGTACACTAGATCCTATATATTTCTGACACTACTTTATAAGCGAATTTATGCTAAAATGCAGTTCTAATTTAAAATAGATGTTTATTTGGTGATAAATTTTTGCATACGTTGTTTTAAATATGCTGATTATTTTTTTGTGTTGATATCTAATTATAAACTTTGATTTTCAACTTAAGAATGAAAATTAATTTTAAACAATTTAACAAAATCAAATATCTCTTTAGCCATTCAGCAAATTATTTTGGATTTTTTCATCACTATGACACTCCTGAGTATTTGAATAAATAATATTCTGATGTACTCTATAATAATAAATATTTAGTATCTAGTAATGATATCATAAATTGTATATATTTTTTAGCAGAGCAAACAGAACTTGTATTCTTACGACTTGACCATTAAAAAAAATGTTGTTCAAATCGGTTCTAAAAGAGCTCCATCTGCGTCTGTATTTTCTTTCCAAATTAAAAAAAAACGACTGAGTTACATATTTTGATATCTTTATTGTATCAAAACAGTCAACTTTGCTAAATCTTATCTTCACCTAAAAACACCAAAAGAAGTTCAAATTTTGATCTTCAAGGTTTCATGTTGTCTTCAATCCAAGTCATATACTTCGAAACTCGGGTGTAAGTCCCCGGCTCATAATCCAGCGCACACGGGTCTGACCCACCAGACACTATACCAATGACGTACCAACTTCCTCCATTTTCCACCCCTCGTGAAACCATCAAAGGTCCGCCGCTATCCCCAAAACACGAACCTTTTCCTGATTCACCTCCAGCACACAAAACGCCCTCATCACTACCATAAGAACAAACAGTCAAGTTCTGAACAGGAACCTGGTAAACCAAAAGTGAGACAAAGAAAAAAAAATCGAAAACACATATTCTACTTCGACTTTAAGTTGATCATCACTGTAGTAGCCTTTTTCGGTGAACCCCCAACCAGCCACAACGGGTTCTTCGCCAATAAAAGAGTAGTACAAGTCGCTCACAGTTGTTGGAAGACAGATCGGTTTGACGAAATCTGAATAAGCAACTTCGTGTTGTAAACGTAGGAGCGCTATGTCGTGGTACTTTTCAGGAGATTTTTGGTACGTTTTGAAAATTATCTGTTTTTCTATGGGTACACCGATGTATTTTGGGGCACACATACCATATCTGTCGCAATCTGGATTAGTTTTCAGGTTGTGTTCACCCAGACGAACGCTCACTCTACAACAACAAACCGCGAATTTGGAAGAAGTACCTTTGAGTACTTACAATTTCGAATTCATGCAGTGGGCTGCTGTTAGTACGTATCTTTTACTGATGAGAACGCCCCCACACTTTACATCCAGGATCGTTTTCTGCGATTTCCTATCATCTGGAACGTCTCACAATATTTTACGTTTTAACTTGTGGTGTTCTTACATTTCTGGTACTCTAGTGCTACCATCCAGGGGAATTCTCCCAGTTTAGTCTTGTTACCCCCGAAGATTATCACACTCGCGTAATTAGTAGACGTACATTGGTCTGGTGTGGCGAATAAACCGGGGTTAACAAATGTTGACGAGTAGTCTGGAATGTCCCCGCTGGAGAAAACCGGGCAGCAAACTTTGACTTCTTGGGCTTGAAATCCGCATTGGGAGTGCCACAGAAAGCGGGCCTTGTTTGGGTTAGGGTCGTCGGCGAGGGTCTTGAGGGACTGGCAGTCTTGCAATGGTTTACACAGGCCGTATTTGCCATGGGGTGTCTGGCAAGGAGGGTAGCTTTGATAACTTCCGGCAGCTATGAGTTATTAAACAGTATTGGGTATTGAGTGTCAAATTTGGTTTCAACTTACTGGTACTAACGGAATGGACAAACGCTAACGCCACTATAAAAGCCCTCAGAGGCATTGTTGACACTGTTCTGGAATTACTAAATAGTGTAAATTCTTATATTGTTTGCTGCAATACTACGCATTATGTTCTTTCGTCAACATTTTATTTGTGATTTCTGCTGAAGTGCACTTTAAGAATTTTAAAAATGTGTATTTATTGATAAATTTTTGCTTATGTTCACTGGAATTAAAACTTAAATGAGAGATAATTCTGAGTTCTTGCGCAATTTTGAAAAGGAAATAAGGTTTATAAATGTGAAATTATTCCACAATGTAGAAGTTGGTTTAAACACCAACAAAAATGTTAACAATGTAGTAACAAAAAATAAATAAACAAATACTGTCAAATGCTGTGTTTTTAATAATTGAACAAACTTTTGACTAACAAAAATTTTGATGACGTCATTTCAAAATTTTGCTGAATAAATCAAAAATAGAAAACTTGTTTCCTGTTTTTCGAACACGTAATCACGGTGTACTCTACGGTAATTATTATAATTAATAATTATTATCGAACATCATAACATGCAACGGATTTCCACAATCACCTCTTCCTGGAAGTGAGCTTCACGAAGAAAAATTTTCCAAGTGTGGTGACAAGTTGCGGGAAAAATATTTTTCCGCTAACCGATAATAGTAAATTATAATTTATTTATGATTATGAATTAATTTATAATTTTTTGTTAGGTTGCCAACATATTTAAAATTTTATGATGACCAGATTGTGGAACTGGCATTTATGACACCAAATCAGTAGTTCATTAATGGTCACTCTGTAGAAATTAAAACCGCAGCAGGACTTCTCGACCTTGTTAATATTCATCCGCAGATTAAAATTCTGTGCGGTAGCACAAACATTATCCTGTTAGCGGTTTTAAGTGTGCATTTTTTCAAGTGAAAGGTCAGATAACTACTCTGCATTAAGATGGAACGATGTAAACAACGATATTTTGTTTTATAGCTTTATCTGTAATTATCGTCAGACTAAAGTTTACAAACTGTTTTGACATTGATTTGACGAAGGTGTTTTTAATTAAAAATCGTAGTCTATTAATTGTGTAAACAACAATTTAATTGATGCATCATTAGTCCATTTATCTATAAAAACAAGCTACTAATTAAAACAAAAATAACAGTCACACGTAATAAATATCCTTACACGTAATGTTAAAAAAAAAACACACACAATACATTTTCTTTAAGAATCAGTCTTAAGGTTTCAGATTTTCCACAATCCAGGTCACGTATTTCGAAACTTTGGTGTATACTCCTGGCAAGTTCTTTTGTCCGCAGGGCGTCGGTCCGAACGAAACCACCCCAACAACGTAAAAATTGGACTCTCGACGCTTCTCAAGCTTAAGGTGCATCAAAGGACCTCCACTGTCGGCCCTACAGGAATCTTTGCCCTTGACACCTCCAGCGCAAATCTGGCCACTATCCAGGGCCAAATTGAGGTTGAGAAGGTCCTTGTACTTGCGGGCGCACTCGGGGAGCTCCATCACAGGTACGTTCACTTTAAGCTTGATGGTACTTTTGACATCTCTTTCGGTGATCCCCCAGCCGGCCACCGTCAGCTGCTTCCCCACGTACGACTTGTACACTTCTTCCGTATCCAACGGCAAACAAATGGGTGTGATAAAATCAGAATATTCCACGTCCCGGTCCAACCTTATCAACCCAATGTCGTGATAATGGTCAGAATCCCCTGCGTCGTAACTCCTGTAAACAATCTGTTCCTCAACCCCGAAATCTTGCACCGGAGGGGCGCAATCCGTCCCCAGAGAGTTGCTAACGCAGTCGGGGTTGGTTTCTGTGTTGTACTCCCCCAAACGCACCTTAACCCTATAAAGAACCAATCAAAACAAAACAAAAAAAAACAATCCACTTACAGTTCGGGTAGGAGACAATGAGCAGCCGTCAAGACGTATCTCTTGTTGATCAAAGACCCCCCGCACTCGAACACCAAACTGCCGTTGTCTGCAAAATAGCCCTTAGCAAAACCAGCCTTTAAGTCGATTTTTGCACTAGTACCGATTTTATACTGGAGCAACGCCATCCAGGGGAACTCGTCCAGGCCGGTTTTTTCCCCTCCGATGATCCTGTTGTCGGTGTACATACCGCAGATGGTACGGTTTGGAAGGAGGTGACTGGAGGCCAAAAGGGACTTGGCGGGAGCGGTGGCTGATGGGCAGCAGACTTTAGGGTCATGGCCCACGAACCCACAGTGTGATCTCTGCACGTAAGTCTTGATTTTAGGGTCGATGGTTCCTTTTTCGAAGTGGGAGTGCAAATTGGGGCAGTCTTGGAGGGGCACGCAGGTGCCCTTTTGACCATTAGGGGTCTGACAAGGGTCCACTGGGTTACTAACTAGTTACACAAATCACATTAACACTGATTTTTGCAGGTGGTAAAAAATGTGCGTACTTACGCGTCTCGGTGGCCACGGCCAGCGCCAAAAACAGGTAAATCGAGTCTCTTAAAACCATGGCAAACGTGACGACTGACCTAGATGACTGAAGCTGGAGTGTTTGTGTTTACTTTTTCAATGGCACCGTCTGGGGGGACGGTGATCATCTTATAAGTGGACCCTGCCTCGTTCGGCAGGAAATTCCACCTGTTGTGTCAGCTCGGAAATCCGCAGCAGGAAAATTCATTTTAATAATTACGATTCAGCACGATTGTGGGTGTTTATTTATGTTTTTTATTAGATAAAAGTACGCTTCTGAGTATAACTAATAAAGCATTTCTCGTTGTCGCCCGAGGCGAACGAAGTAATTGTCAAGGTGATCTACAACTAGATGTGGTATTATTGTATCTGTGTGAAGATGAAATTACAGTTACGTAATAATTGTAAATGAAAAATTGTGTTTTATTTTGTTGTGAATGTTTTTGCCAGACTCGTGGAAGTTGTGGATTGAACTACCGACCCGATTGCTTTGAAACTTTTGCTATTTATATTTTGAGACAAACGTTAACGTAAAAATAAAGTTTATAAGTTTTAAGTTTCACGACTGTTTATAGAGGTTGTGCTAAAATAAAGAATGTCTGAACTAATTTGAATATTACTTTTCCTGGAAAGAGTCCACCTACTTTTTTTTATTCATTCAGAGCTACTCATTTAATGTCCTCGATTTCGTAGAAGAGAATTACGTCAAGATTTCATGGATTACATGTATTAAAATACATTAAAAACTTTATCTTTGAGACATATTTTTAAGACATGTCTCTTGTTATTGTTATCTACAAAGAATTTGAAAAAATCTTGGATTCCCTTTAATTTTAATTTTTAAAAATTTTAAGGGAATTTGGAGGTTTCTCAGGTATATTTTTGAGAAATTTTAAAAGGGATCTAAGGCCCTATTTGTTTAGTTCTTGAAAAAAAAATTTCAATCTCAAGGGTTTCTTGTGTATGACCCCTAAACAATTTTTAAAGAATCTTGGAGGCCCTTTGGGTTTAGTTTTGAAAATTTTTAAAACTATTTCTGACGCCCTTTAGGACTATTTTTTGAAAAAATTTTAAACAGTCTTGGCGGCCTTTCGTGAAAAAAAAAACTTCTTGAGAGACTCATGTCTTTAATTTACTGAAAAAAAATTAAAAGATTCTTGGATAGTCTCTAGTGCGTTGGAAAAAATCTTGAAGGTCTCTTATGGTTAGTTTTTGAAAAATTTGGAATGAATTTTGAGGTCCCTTATGTTTTTTGAAAAAAATTAAACCCTGGAGATTTGTTCTTGAAAGAACTAAAAAAAAGCTTTTGGAAAATTTTTGGAGATCTTTGTGTTTACCTTTTTGAAAACAATTGATGGATTCATTTCGTAATTTGAGACATATTTTTAAAAAACGTTACCTCTTATTATTATTATTATCTGTAAACAATTAGAATTAATGTTACAGACAATTTGGTTTTAATTTTTGAAAATTTTGTTCCTACGAATAAATATGGAGAAGTATAACACAACGTATTCCACACGAATCATCCTACATCATGCAATATAACATTATTAACATTATCCGATTTTCCTGAAAAATGTGTGGGTTAAAATCAATCACTTTTAATTATGTAAACCATCTATTAATTTTTTTCCAACAACTAAGGTCTAAGTTTGCTCTTAATCCATGGTACGAATTTCGACACTCTGGTGTAAACTCCTCCCCAGTTCTCCATGGCACACGGCTGCGCTCCAAACGACACCACCCCAACGGCATACCACTGAATGGCCTTAAGCTTGTCCAACCTCACCGTCATCAAAGGTCCTCCACTATCCCCCTTGCAGGAATCCTTCCCTTTTTCGCCACCGGCACACAGCTGAATATCCTTCAACGTCAACTTAAAATTATACCTCCTGAACGTATTTTCACAGTACGAACTTTCCCTCACTGGAAGCTAAACCACATTGAATTAGTCACTAGCGAGTACTTCAATACGTACTTTAACTTTCAGTTTAACACTACTAGTAGACATCTTGGTGTTATCGGTCATTCCCCACCCAGCCACGTGAAGTTTCTCCCCAACATAGCTTTTAGAGAACTCTTCGTCCTTAGTAGGGAGACAAATAGGTCTAACATAATCTACAACAAAACTCAATCGGTGTTTAAGTCAAAGTACAATTCCGCCTCACCAGTCACTGACACCTCTCGCGCTAACCTCAAAAGCGCTATATCGTTGTACTGGTTAGTGTCGTCTTTGACGTAACCCTCATGAACCACTGTGTCCTCCACGGGGATGTCAATCGGGGGCGGCGCACAGTCTTCCCCTAGTTCAGTCTTGACACAGTCGCGCTCGGTGGTGATGTCGTGCTCCCCCAGACGAACTCCCGTCCTGAAACACCACCAATCATACTCATCTAACTACCAAAAATACTCACAGTATCCTGTTGATGCAGTGTGCCGCCGTCAACACGTATCTCTTGCTAATGAGCGCGCCGCCACAGTTGAAGTACTTGGAACCGTTGCCTAAACACGCTCAGTCAAATAACAATCAAGTACTCGTATATACCACTACTTCTTTTATATTCCAACAACGCCATCCACGGGAACTCATCGATGCCCGTCTTTTCGCCACCGACGATTTTGGGCTCGGTGAAGTGGCCACAAGTCTCTGGGAGCAAATCGGTGGACCCCAACGTTGCGGACACCAGCGGACAACAGACTTTCGGCATGGACCCCTGGAAGCCGCAGTTGTGTGTCCTGAGGAAGTTCGCATTTTCAGAAGTGAGCGGTCTCTTGTTGTAAACAGCTACAAGAGGCGGACAGTCGGTGATGGGTTTGCAGTCACCATTTAGGCCACCGGGTGTTTGGCAAGGGTCCGCTGAAACACCAGGAATTGGTCTCGGCAAGACGAACTTCTTTTACTTACCGCATAGTGAGAAGTGAGTCACGGCGAGGACCGCGATACACCACTGCGAAAACATGCTCAACGAGTGAGTAGCGTTCTGTATGTTTATTATTATTATAGAGGAGATAATTTTTTCCAATGACCTGCTTTGAACTCAGTTCCTTTCTGTGAACAGGCAAATGATGGGTTATTTTCGTTAGTGACAAGTCTTCCAAGTCAGGCTTGTTGCCAGTGGTACATGTTGCGGTACAAGTGTTGTTGATTATTTATTTACCTTGAAAATTTCGTTTTGTGCAAGGATTGGTAATCGAGTGATAAAGTGAATGCTGATCTGTTGCTGAGACGCATTTAAATCGATTAAGTATTATCGCGTTTTCGAAGAACTCTATTTATAGAGGGTTTTAGCATTTTTTTAATAGTTCGTCGCTTTATACAATTCAAGTATGTTTAATGGGAACAATTGAGATTTTTTAATTGTCGCCAAGCCATTTATAAATCACAAGGAAGACCTGTTTCGAAAATGTGCCTTTGGAGGTTACCAACACAATTGACGACAACCGAACACCGCAAAAGACGACCTTAGCATATTCTTTAGATCGACGTCATGCACTACAAAACGCAAGGGGGGCAAAACTTATTCAAAACTAATCGACTAAAAGTGTTGCCGTTTTGTAGCAAAGAGGTGGTAATTATTTCATAGATTCTAGAATTCCGAATTCATTAATTTTTTTCGCCCTGACGGTAATAACTGTGAAAGAAAAAGAAAAGACCTGGAAATCTCAAGATTCTTTATTAATAATAATAATAAGAATAACATTTACTGTCCAACACTTTCACAAATATTTACACTACACTTGAGAAAAAAAGTGGTGTAGCAAGGATTGCAATTTGTTGTTAGAAATATTATGTTGGCAACACTAATGCCTTTCTTGTTCGATTTGACAGTAATACTAATGTAGATATTTTGCGGTCTAATAACTGTCAAATAAAGTGTCAAATAGCTGCAATACCAACATCATTACTTTAAAAATAAATTTTATAGTTTGCTAGACAGTTGTAGGATTCAGAGATAACGTTAATCTCGAAAATGTTGAATATAATGTAGGTAACCATAAATTGCCTCTACACAATCAAAAACCAACATGTTTGAACCCACTATGGTCTAAGTTTGCTTATAATCCACGGTACATATCCACCTAACTTCGTATAAACCGCCCCCCATCCCGGTGACCCACAAGAAACTCCAAAGGAAACAACCCCCGCAGCATAATAGCGTCGAATTTTCCGTCCATCCACTCTAGTCGCCATCAACGGTCCTCCGCTGTCTCCATAACACGCGTCTTTTCCTTTTTCGCCACCAACACACAGCTGCGTGTCCATCAACGTCACGTCAAAATGAAACCTCCTGTATGTGGTTTCGCAAAACGAACTCTCCTGCACTGGAACCTAACCCCTTTTATTAGCCACCGTTCCAACTTTCGTCAATACCTACTTGAACCTTTAGCTTGACAGTACTTGCCATGTTCTTTTCGGTAATTCCCCAACCAGCCACGAAAAGTCGTTCGCCGGTGTAATTTCTGGAGAATTCTTCAGAGGATGGAAGACAGATAGGCCCGACGAAGGCTGCAAAAACACGTTGTACTAGTGTAACTGTAAGCGCGAGTCGCGTTACGGGAAAATGGTACTTCATGTCGTAACCTTAAGAGTGCTATGTCGTTGTAGTACGGGCGGTTGTTTATGAATCTCTCATGAACGATTTTCTCGTTTATGACGACGTCGAGGGGTGGTGGGGCGCAGTCTTCACCCCCCGAAGCGAAACAATCTTTGTCTGAAGCCGTGTCGTGCTCTCCGAGGCGGACGCTGATTCTAGAATATTACAAGAAATAAAAATCGTTTCTAAAGAAACATTAGAACAAGTCTAGTCTACTCACAATTTCTTCTTCACGCAGTGTGCTGCTGTTAAAACGTATCTTTTGCTGATGAGAGCACCGCCACAGTGGAAGTATCTAGAACCGTTAGCTAGGTGTGGCCATTACGAAAGGGTTTACTTTGTGGATGTAGTTACCGTGTTGGTATTCCAGCAACGCCATCCATGGGAATTCGTCAATGGCGGTTTGCTTGCCACCGATAATTTTGGCATCGATTAAATGACCACAAGAGGAAGGATCCGGAAGCAGAGAGTTTGGTTCGACGAGTTCAGCAGCAGTAACGCAGCACACTTTGGGTATAGAACCTTGGAAGCCGCACGAATGGTTTCTTAAAAAATCAGCTTTTGCTGGTGTAAGCGGTTTTTGATTGAATATCGAGTGAAGAGGTGGACAATCAGGAATGGGTTTACATTCGCCAATTCCGTTAGGGGTTTTGCAGGAGTTGACTGGAAGATGTAAGAGTCGTCAAAAAAGTGTTGTTTGAATGTAATGGACTCACCAGCGTTTGTGAAACGAGCAGCTGCAAGGAGCACGAACCACCATCGTGTAATCATTGTAAATAAATGCAAATGTAAAGAATATGACACAGATATAAGATAATTTTTTATTCGTCGTTGCTGACCTTGTCTTTGAATGTATGTAATGGGTCATCAGTGACAAAATTTCTAAGAATATTGACTTTGTTAACTTTCGCACTGATTTCACGTTCCATCAATTTTGCTCATTTTCCCGTTGTGGCCAAATTTTAAGATGAATAAGTAAAAGACTGCTTTTTAAAAATTTATTTCAATAAACTATATACACTAAGCTCTAAGTTGTTTAACTATCCAAGTCATATAGTTTGACACTTTCGTATAAACCCCGGGCAAATTCCCTGTTCCACACGCTTTCGGTCCAAAGGACACAATACCAGCAACAATCCAATGAGGTTCCCTGTATTTATCCAGACCCACAGTCATCAAAGGTCCCCCGCTGTCTCCTTTACAAGAATCTTTTCCCTTTTCACCCCCAGCACACATCTGATTTGTAGTCAAAGTCACATTGCCTTTTGTTAAACTGGAGTACGTCGTGTTACATTCCGGTAGAGGCTTAACAGGCAGCTGAAAAACCTCCACCTGTGACATCCATCGACACAATCCAACGAACTTACTTGGACTTTTAATTTAACAGGACTCGCCCTTGTCGTATTATCTTCGGTGTCTCCCCAACCGGCCACAAAAAATTTTGTTCCGACGTTGGTCTTCTTCAGTTCTTCACCTAGGAATGGAAGACAAACGGGTTTGACGAAATCTGCATTTAAGTCAAACAGAAAATTACAAAAAATTACTACTATTTATTTTTCTAACCTGTAAAAGTCACATTTTGCTTAAGTCTCAAAAGAGAAATATCGTTACGGTTGTTAATGTCCACACTATAATCTTCATGTACGATTTGTTCTTCTATTTCAAAATCTACAGGCTCCAGGGCACAATCTTCACCACCAAATTTGCTTCTAATGCAGTCTGGATTAGTGTCAATGTTGTGTTCCCCTAGACGAACACCTACCCTAGAATATAACTTTATTTTATTAACATATTCTAAAGAAGGTTCACTCACAGTGTTAAACTTGCAGCCGACATCCTCTTCGGATGCACGCAATGTGCCGCCGTCAGAATGTACCTGTTGTTAATCAAAGTTCCACCACACAAGAACGCTTTTTTCCCGGTACCTAAAAATCAAGGTTATTCCATCTCTTATCAAAAAGTTCCAAATACCTTGCCGATACTGCAGCAACGCCAACCACGGAAACTCGTCCAACTCCGTTTTTTCTCCTCCATAGATCCTGCTCTGGGTGTTGAGCCCGCAGGAATCTAGGTCAGGGAGCAATCTGGAGGAAATGGCTGCCACTGCTAAACATAGTGTTACTGTGGTTGGTATATTGAAATTACTACGCACTTGTGGAGTCCGTGGGCCCTTCTGTAACCGGCGGCTTGACAGTTGATTTAGTGGAAGATTCTATTAAACAACACACTTTGGGTAAAATGTCTTCGTAGCCACAGTTCGACTTTTTGAGGAAGTCCAGATTCGTTTCGGAGATGGGTCGCTTCAGGAGAAGGGACATGAGCGCTGGGCACTGGTCGATGAGCTTGCAGTCGCCGGATTGGTTGTTGGGGGTACGGCATGGGGTAGCTTGGGGAAAAGTAGTAGTACAACTTAGTTCTCGGTGGTGGGCTTGTAGTCAAAAGACTAAATTTTTAATTAATTTTTTTTTAAGGGACAGAATTAGGTTATTCTTTATAGTCAAAACCATTTCTTTGGTAAATATGCATGACTTTCACTTTAATGGATTTGTGGGATTGTTGAGAACGGAAGGAAACAAAGCTCAAAATTATAGCAAAAAATAATAATAAAGTGAACAGAAAAAAAAAGTAGAAATGAAGTATAAGTTAACATGTTTTCAGATATGTTATTGCGCGAAGCAAAACAAGAATTAGGAAGTACATACAAGTCATACAACACTTGTAAAACGATTACGATTATCAGAGAAATAAACATACAAGTCATGAAATTTCCCATAGGCTCAGGAATTCCGAATGACGTCAGTGACTTCTAATAATGCTGCTTTTTCTATTATTAAAAATATGTATCTTCACTCAAAACCGAGTTTTGATTTTTTCTGGAATTAAGATAACACTAAATTTGTTTAAATTAAAGTACTCTTATTTGTAACAAGCACTATATTACAGTGATATTGCTTGAGAGGCCATCTTTTTCTAGGAAAATTTATTCAAAGTGCGAATTAGACTTACCTGTGAAAATCCCTTGCACTACGAATGAAAACAAAAAATATTTCAAAATCATATTTTTTAGAAGAAAATTAGAAGCAAATTGACGTTTCCGCAAAGTTCTAGTACACTAAATTTCCACTCGGGTGGCCAATTTTTGCAGTTTACTTCATGTTGTTTCCATTGCTTCTCACAGAACACTACTGATAAAAAAGTAGAGTTCGGATCATTTATTATTATTACTAAACAAAGATAACGTTTTTGCTTCTCAAATACGACATAAATTTTAATGTGTAATAGTTCAAATCAACGATTCAGAATAATTCTAACAACGTGCAATTTAAAGTTAAGAATTAGTTGAAATTTCGAAAAAACTATACAAAATTTTTAACCGAAATTATACATAAACGTTTCTTTGACAAATAAAAAAAATGATTTTCCAAGCATTTATTTATGATAACCTCTGTACATTAAAACAAATATAATAATAAGACTCTGCCATTGGATTTGTAGTATATACAGAAGTAATAAATTATTCGAAAATTACAAATATGATAACCACTTCCAAGATGGCTTTTGGTTGTAATACAGCTGTCTACACTCTAAGCTTATCAACTATCCAGGTCATATACTTCGAGACTTGCGTATAAACCCCAGGAATATTTTCCTGTCCACACGCTTTCGGTCCAAAAGACACAAGACCAGCAGCAACCCAATGGGGGATTCTGTACTTATCCAAAACAATAGTCATCAAAGGTCCTCCGCTGTCCCCTCTACAAGAATCTTTTCCCTTTTCACCTCCAGCACACATCTGATTTTGGCTCAAAATGGCCTTGTGTGGCTTTAAATTGGAATATGTTCTGTTACAGTCGTGTAGAGGCTTAACAGGCAGCTAAAAATCTCCGTCAGTTATGTTTATGGTAAAAATTCCCAAAAACTTACTTGGACTTTTAATTTAACAGGACTCGCTCTTGTTTTATTGTCGGTAGCTCCCCATCCAGCCACGACAAGTTTTTGTCCTACGTAGGTCTTCTTCATTTCTTTAGCTTGGAGCGGGAGACAGATTGGTTGTACGAAATCTGTATTTAAAATCAAACAGAAAATACAAAAAAATTAGACGATGGGTCTTCCAACCTGTGAAATCCACGTTTCGGTTGAGCCTCAACAAAGCAATATCGTTGTGGTTGTTAATATCCAAAGAGTACCTCTCATGCACGATTTTCTGTTCTATGCCAAAATTCACAGGTTCCGGAGCGCAGTCTACATCACCAAATCTGCTCATCAAGCAGTCCGGATTAGTTTCAGTGTCGTATTCTCCTAGACGAACACCTAGCCTATAATATAGTCCCATTAACTTTTTTTTTTTTTAAATAAGGTTCACTCACAGTTTTAACCCTTCCTTCGCCAACTGCCACGGATGCACGCAGTGTGCTGCCGTCAGAATGTACCTATTATTAATCAAAGCTCCTCCACATAAGAACGCTTTTTCCCCATTCGCTAAAAACCACAGTTATTCCATCTCTTACCAAAAAATCTAATAATACCTTTCCGATATTGCAGCAACGCCAACCACGGAAACTCGTCCAACTCTGTGTTCTCTCCCCCGTAGATTTTGCTCTGGGTGTCGATCCCACAAGTATCGAAGTCAGGAAGCAGTTCAGTGGAAATGCCTGCCACACCTGTAGCTTCCGTGGGTTCTGGAAGATTTATGGTTGGTGGAGCGGAAGATTCGACTGGACAACACACATGGGGGACAACGCCGTGGAAGCCGCAGTTCGAGTTTCTGAGTAAGAGGGCGTCCATTTCGGAGATGGGTCTCTTCTGGACTAGCGACAGGAGCGCTGGGCAGTCGGTGATGGGTTTGCAGTCGCCGGTTTGGTCGGTAGGCGTGCGGCATGGGGCGGCTTGGGAAAAAACAACAATACAACTTTGCTCTGGGTTGTGCATTTAAAAAAAAAAATGACGAAGAAAGTTTTCATTGTTTTATGAAACATTAAATATTATTTTGTCTGAAAACGATGTGTTCAAAGTGTGAATTTCACTTACCTGTAAAAATTCCTTGTACAGCCAGTAAAAATAACAAACTTTTCAAAATCATTTTGTCAGAAGAAAATTGGAAGCAGCGCCAATATACTCTTAATGCTTCAGAAGGTTCTTCTGGACTAATTTAAAAGAGCAGTTTTTTTTCATTTATTAAGCTTATGCACTTCCCTTTACGTTTTCTGGATTGGTTTTTTTTACCGCATTGATAAAATAAGCACAAGTGGGATCATTTATTCCCAAACAACGATAACTATTTCCTTTTTAATTATCAGATTGGCGTATTAGGTACTGGAAATTTTAGTCATCAAAAAAATTATAAATAGTTCTCTCGCGATATACGTCAGACCATTTCAAATGAACAAGTCAAAATGTTGAGTTCATTAAATTGAATCTAGACAACTCAGTCAAAGTTTATTAAAATTTATTGATTTAAAAGTCTATTCTTTTCAATAAAACACGACTACTTTTCAAAAGTTTATTTCAACAAACTCTGGACACTAAGCTCTAAGTTTATCAACTATCCAGGTCATATACTTGGACACTTTCGTGTAAATCCCGGGCAAATTTCCCGTTCCACACGCTTTCGGTCCAAAGGACACAATACCGGCAACAATCCAATGAGGGTCCTTGTATTTATCCAGACCTACAGTCATCAAAGGTCCCCCGCTGTCTCCTTTACAAGAATCTTTTCCCTTTTCACCCCCAGCACACATCTGATTTAGGGTCAAAGTCACATTGCCTTGTGTTAAACTGGAGTATGTGGTGTTGCATTCCGGTAGAGACTTAACAGGCAGCTGAAAACATCCACCTGTTATATCCAAGGACACAATCCATCGAACTTACTTGGACTTTCAACTTAACAGGACTGGCCCTTGTTCTTCTATCTTCGGTGTCTCCCCAGCCAGCCACAAAAAGTTTTTGTCCCACGTAGGTCTTCCTCAGTTCTTCACCTTGGAGTGGGAGACAAACCGGTTTGACGAAATCTGCATTTAAAGTCAAACAAAAAACTAAACAAAATCATACGAGTTGTTTCCTAACCTGTAAAAATCACGTTTCGTTTAAGTCTCAACAGAGCAATATCGTTACGGTTGTTAATATCCACACTATAATCTTCATGCACGATTTGCTCTTCGATTTCAAAATCTACAGGTTCTGGAGCACAGTCTTGACCACCAAAGTTGCTCGTAATGCAGTCTGGATTAGTTTCAGTGTTGTGTTCCCCTAGACGAACGCCAACCCTAAAATATAACTTTATTTTATTAACACATTTTTTTAAAAGAAAGTGCACTCACAGGGTTAACCTTGCCTCCGACATCCTCTTCGGATGCACACAATGTGCCGCCGTCAGAACGTATCTGTTGTTAATCAAAGCTCCACCACACAAGAACGCTTTATTCCCATTAACTAAAAATCACCTTTATTCTACCTCTTGCCAAAAAATTCCAATATACCTTTCCGATACTGCAGCAACGCCAACCACGGAAACTCGTCCAAGTCCATTTTCTCTCCTCCATAGATCCTGCTTTGGGTATTGAGCCCGCAGGAATCTAAATCCGGAAGAAACCTGGAGGAAATGGCTGCCGCTGCTAAACATAGTGTTAGTATGGTCGACATGTTGAAATTATTACGCACGTGTGGTCTCCGTGGGTCCTTCTATAACCGGCGGCTTGACGGTTGGTGGAGTGGAAGATTCGGTTGAACAACACACTTTGGGGAAGATGCCGTCGAAACCGCACTGAGACTGTCTGAGGAAGACGGCGTTGCTTTCAGAGAGGGGTCGCTTCATGAGGAGGGAGTGAAGCGCTGGGCAGTGGTTGATGGGCTTGCAGTCGCCGTCTTGGTTGTTGGGGGTGCGGCATGGGGTAGCTTGAAAAAAAAAACAACAGTAACGGGATTGGTTTTTAAGCTTTCATTGTCAAGATTTGTGGTACAATATTTTTTAGTAGTAAGTTTTGTATTCAAAAAGAGCTTCTGAAACTAAATAATTCGTTTCCATAATATGAAATAAATTGCAGGTGAGTCAGCAACCTTGAGGAAAATCTACAAACATAATTATGGATGTCGATTTAAGGAAATTGGATTCGTGTGCAAGAATTACTTTACATTAATTATTTTTAACAGAAGAGCCAGTTTATGTAAAAATTGCGTGTTCTGATCTACATAAATGTATCAGATAACATGTCTTCAGATATGTTATTCGCGAAACGTAACAAACAAGAACAGTTGTAAAATGAGTACGATTATCAGAAGCTAAAAAATAAACAACGAGGTCATGAGGTTTCGAAAGATCTCGGGAAATCCGAATGACATCAGTGACTGAAAATAAAAGATAGTGCCCACATTTGACTGAAAAATATGTGTTTTGATTTTTTCCGGAATTAAAACGACACTAATTTATTTAAAATAAAAAAGGTACTAAGTGCGAATTAGAATTACCTGTGACGATTCCTTGCACAGCCAATAAAAACAAAAAGTACTTCAAAACCATCTTTCTTAGAAGAAAATTGGAAACACTGCAGATATATAGCTTACGTTTTCAGGAAGTTCTAATACACTAAATTAAAACACATATTTTCCACCAGTGTGTTAAATGTATGCAGTTTCCTTCATATATTATACACTACTGATACAAATAAGGTCAAATAATTTAATATAAAACAGAGATAACATTTTTGCTTTTAAAATATGATACACAATACTGGAATTTTTAATGAACAAAAAAAAAACGACAAGTCGTTATCTTTCGGTATACGTCAAGAGCGATCTTTAGTTTAAGCTACTGAACATAAGATGGCGCCACAGTCCATGCGAGCCTAGCACGAACAGACTATACAATTTTTTATCGAATTAACCGACTATACTACGTTTTCAGGTAGCATAAAAAAACAACATGAAAAATAAAACTTTTATTTGAAATTCCGACAATATACAAAAATGAATTTAATGCGATCACACTGACAGATTAATCTACAAGTCTTAAATTAGGGCTTAAGCTGGCTAACGATCCATGGTACGTATTTCGAAACTTTGGTGTAAACTCCCGGCCAGTTTTCCATACCACAGGGAGAAGGCCCGAAGGACACAACCCCAGCGGCATACCAGTGCACATCTCTATTCTTATCAATGCTAATGGTCATCAACGGCCCTCCACTATCCCCACGACAGGAATCCCTCCCCTTCTCACCACCGGCACACAACTGTCCACCCCCTAGCCTAACATTGGCCACCTTATACGTGGACCTACACTCCTCAGCCTGTTTCACAGGAACCTACAACAAACCCATAACCCCTATTCTTTGTTCCAAAACACAAACTTACTTGAACTTTGAGCTTTATGTTACTCTCTGACCGGTTCTCGGTTTTGCCCCATCCCGCCACGAACAGCTTCTGCCCAATGTAAGTCTTCGTCAACTCTTCGCTTGTAGTGGGAAGACAAATCGGCTTAATATAATCTAAAAAACACAGTGAGACTCCTCAAGGAACTCCAGACCATTCGTACCACTAAACTTGGCCTCCCGCTTCAGCCGCAACAAAGCTATATCGTGGTACTGGTTGATATCGTTGGGGTCGTAATTTTCATGGGCTATCCTTTCCGCCACCGGAATATTGACTGGGGGCGGCGCACAATCCCTCCCAAACGCACTATTGATGCAGTCGGGGTCAGTCTCTGTGTTGTATTCACCCAAGCGCACGCTCACCCTGAAACAACTATCAGAACTCGTCGGGCTCGTTCCGCAAACTTACAGTTTCCAGGTTTTGGGTAAGTCTTTCCCTTTGACGCAGTGAGCGGCTGTTAGGACGTACCGCTTGCTGATCAAAACGCCGCCACAATAAAAACCACGACTGCCCCCAGCTACAACACAATTTTAGTCATAAAAACTAAAGATTATTTGAGTCGTTACGTTTCTCGTATTCGATTAAAGCCATCCAGGGGAACTCGTCCAGGTCGGTTTTCTCTCCTCCGTAGATCCTGCTCTGGGTGTTGACTCCGCAGTCGTCAAAGCCAGGGAGCAGGTCGCTACTCACGGGGTCTATATCTGGAATTTGTGTGTCATTTTTGTTTTTTTTAAGTTTGGAAATGAACCTGTTGCTTCCGTGGGTCCTTCCACAATTGGAGGTTTGACTGTTGGAGGCGCCGCCGACCCAATGGGACAACATACTTTAGGGTAGGCACCCACAAACCCACACTGAGACCGTCGCAAGTAGTCGGCGTTACTGCTGGAGATAGGACGGCGCTCTAGGAGTTGGTAGAGCGATGGGCACTCGTTGATGACTTTACAGTCGCCGTCTTGGTTGTTGGGGGTCTGGCAGGGATCAGCTAAAAGGGTGAAAGATTGACTGATTGTGCTTCAAGACAATTTATCACAAGCTACTTCCCTTTGCTAATTTTAATTCGAGCTAGCTAGCTATTAGGTTCGGATCTTCTCGGTCACTAACTATAATACTAACTAAGAGGTTGAAATAGCGTCGGTACTGGTTTAACGTTTGACGACAGCATCAAATACTGTTATTAATTAGTACCTTTGAAAGTAAAAAAAGCCAATTCAGAAGCAACATTAGGATCAACGTTCTCTAAAGTATTCGCTTCTTTTGTACTTTTACTGAGGTCGCTCTTGCGGAACAAAACGTACCTTTAATAATCCAGACCATGAGTATTTTCAATGCACTTTGGCTAATTTAAGTTTGGGAAATCTTAATGATCTATCTAACTACCGAATCGATTACTTCAATGTATGTGTGGTTTTAACTAAGTCAGATTTATGTCTGAGATTATACAACGGATTTCTTAGAAACTTCGTAAATTTATTAACTTCATTAAAGATTTACCTAACATTAATTGAAATTTATTTATGTATTCATATCTTCCGGAAAGTTGACGTCATTTCAGAAGACCATTAAATCAATCTTCATTGTTTGTGTTTTCTTTCGTAGAATTGCTGATATAGATTGCCCCACAATTTTCTTACTTCAAAACTCTTCAATTTATTTTTAAATAAAAACAAACTAAATATTACTCATCAAATTAGTAGAACTATCTTTATTTTTTTCCGAGCGTACGCAAAGGAATTATTGTAATATTTTCATGTTTTCTCGACATGTCATGACTAGAGTACGACAAAATAGGTCCCCGTTTCCGTCTGTCTGTCTGTCCACCGTCTGTGTCAATTTTTGTTAGACAGATAATTTCCGAAACTATTGGACCTACTGTTTAATTTTATATGTGTGTTATGATTATGAACATCGTGTAGATGCTAAAACGCTACCAAACTTTGTCTAATGATCCCCACCAACAAAGTGATGACGTCACCACAAAATTGTACTTAGCAAATGTGTCATCATCATCACCATCATCATCTCAAAACGAATAAACCCTATCGAAAATAAGCAAAACATTATGATTCCATACTTGCGATTTATATCAATGCATTCATAGTTTTTATAATTACTTGTATAGGTCCCAAAAAAAAAATTATTGAACGTGCTCACTGCGCTCGCCTTCTAAACGTACTTTTTTACAGTTTAGTCTCATAAAAGTGATTAAGAAAATTTCAGCGTCTAGGTTTTGTTTCAATAATAAATCTCTAGCCTTATTAATTAAATAAAAAACACGCATCCGATTTTACTAAAAAATTATCTCCTTAAAAAAAATGTGGCTTACAAAGACACCGACGATAACACCTAAATGTGCTCGCTCCACTCGCATTGTGAGTGTTCCTTTTTTAATTAATTTAGTGTAATAAAACGAATGAATACTCATCAAGGCTACTTAGTTTTTATTATAATAATTCTCGAGATTTCCCTATGAAAGTAAATTACTCTGAAAAAAACAACCTCTAAAAGGCGAGCGTAGCGAGCACGTGGAGCATGTTTCAGTCCCACAGACAAGGGAACACAATTTTTAAACTCACATTTTAAATAACAAAATTTGTTTTTAATAATTTAGCTTCTCAGGGATAGCAAAAATTATATATATTTTTTTATTATACCAGAATGTGCTCGCTGCGCTCGCATTTAAGGCTTTTTTTCGGCTTTATTCTCACAGAATTGTATACGAAAAAGTCTCAGCGCAGTTGTTCAGGTTCTAATGTACAATTGTATTTGATCAAATCCGCAGATTTTAAAGCAAACACACCCTTAGAATGCGAGCGCAGCGAGCACACAGTAGACAATTTTCACATAATAATTTTTTTTTTTATTAATAATTTAGCTTCTCATGGGCACTGACGAGTAATTTTTAATAACATCTAAACGGCTCGCTGCGCTCGTATTTTTAATGTTCTTTTTTAGTGCGGTTTCATAGGAACGTTTACTAGTGTACTGGAATTTTATCGTTTTTAAATTATTTTATACGCAGATTTTTTTATATAAGTTGTTTAAAAACAATGAATGATAAAAATTATCGCTCTGAGTGTGAGGGAAATTTAAATTCTTTGGACCGATTTTTTGTTCTCTGTCCCATGCATGAAAGTGACACGAATTTAATTTAAACACAATTTATGATGTCATTGTGTACTAAGTAGCCAACAAAAGTTTTCGCGGTAAAGAGCCAATAACTACTTTCGTTGAAGGTTGTTTATTCATTCTGTGAAAAGGCTGAGGCAAAAATATTGACTTTCCTGCTGGGTCTTTGAAACTGAAGCCTGAACTTGTCAAGAAACCTTTTAACTGCAAACTAATCTAATGAATCTAATGAATAAAAAATTACTTAATTTACTTTGAAATGTTGACTATAGGCAAGTTAAATACATTTTTACCGAACGGGCTTCCATCTTTAAAAATGGTGACATGGGGATTTCTGAACATAGCTTTGATATCAAAGTGCAACTATTTTGATAACTGTTACTGGGAAAATCCTGGTGTTCATTTTGTTCATCCTGGTCTGAGTTCTGTCAGACTGCCGACACGTTTTTTCAAACAATACACAGGAAATGTGTAATCTTTAACCAGACTTGGTGTATAATACAAAGCTATTATGAATTCCAGCTCCTAATGACAAACTAATGCCACCTTCTCCACAAAACCCGAAAATCGAAAACAATTATTTCGTAACTCGATAAGTTATCTCAGGTCATTATCAACCCATTATCTCTAAGTGCCCCCAAAATAGCAAACCTTACGTCTTTCCAACCCACCACCCACCGCTCTCATCCCAAAACAACGTAACATTTTTCCAGAAAATCGCGCAAACAAACACGTCCCAGCGACACCGACTGCGAGCAAGGTTATCACAATTCAAGGCCCATTATCTCAGCGGCGTGCAACAACACCCATAAAATGCACCTTTTTCGCACCAAACTCACCTGCAATCGCGACCTGGACCACCACAAACAAAACAAGCACTTCTTTCGCACGCATTGTGAAGATGTAATCGACTGACTGGTGAGTATCACGGGTTTAGACCTCACTGACCCATGCTGATCTCTGGCAATCTTGTCTATCTCGCCTGCCTTGGAAAGTCCACTGTTCGCTTGAAATCACACGGACTGGAAATACTGACGGCTGGAAGACGTCACAACGACGTCGCCCCTTCTATGCTAGATGTGCACATTCTTCGGACTGACGATGAGGCAACAAGAACTCGAACGCCGGGGGAGGCGGCGAGAACGTTTGGGAATCCCAGCCGTCGTCAGCAGGTGTCAGTGGCTGTGTTGAAATTTTGTTGACGCGAGGTTTACTTTCGGTGTTTACGTTGGAGGTGTTTTGTTGTTGCGGATTTTTTAGGGTGTTTCCAACGGTTGCGACATGTTTACGGTCGAAAGAGGAATGTGGAGGAGCACGCAAAAATATTTATTATTATTAGTTGCTAATTTTAAAATTTCGTTCAACACAGAAAGATACATTTTTATTTATTCGACTTAATTATTTAGCACAACACTCAACGTAATTCAAAGGCATAAAAAATATATTGTTTTGCTGTCTAAATCACTCCTCTACAATATTTTCTACAGATGTATTCGTTTAGAACTTCTTCCCTTCCAGCTTTTTTTTGTCTTGGAAATAAATAGTAATCGATCACCGCACAATTTTTTCAATTTCAACCTCTGGAAATTTTTCCAACAGTACTTCTGCTTTTTTCTTTCTCTTGGAAAACTTGATAAACTACTGTTTTAATTCCTTTGCTAAATAAAATAAAAATATTGGAAAAATCCTCTTCAAAACGTCGGAAAAGTGATTTCAAAGTTGTTGTTTCGGGGGTTTCTGGTATTTTGTTTTTGAAAAAAATTGAGAAAATCTTGGGCAACCCTGACCAGGTAAAGTCGGATCAGGTCACGTCAGGCCGGGTCAGGTTAGGTCAGGTCAGTTCCAAGTTTTGTTTTTGAACAAAATCTGAGAAAATTTTAGATAACCCAGGCCAGGTCAGCTCAAGTCAGGTTTTGTTTTCGTAAGGATTTTTGGAGTCCTGGTCTTTCATTTTTGAAAAAAATTGAGAAAGTCTTGGGCAACCTAGGCCAGGTCAGGTCAAGCCAGGTTTTAATTTTATTAGAATCTTGGAAATCGTGGTATTTTATGTTTGAAAACAAAAATCTTGTGATAAAACCTGGTATTTTCATTTCCGCAGAATTTATAAGAACCTATAACATTGAATTGTAATAAACTTTGATATTTATTAGGTGGTTTGATCATAACATCATTAACATCGCTTCACTTGTAATTTTTGCTATTTATTCTAATCACTGACTGAAATACCCGTGTTCGCAGAAATGAACTTAGTTCAAAGGGGTTAAATAAATTATCTCCTCTATATAACATTCAACAAACAAAATCCTCTCACTCATTGATCATGTTTACCCAGTGGTGTATCGCAATCCCCTTCGTGCTTCATTTCGCACTCTCTGGTAAGCAAATCGCATCGTTCCTCCTACCCCATCCAACTCAAGGGTGTTTCAGAGTTTTGTGGGCTGCACACTGAGTCCAAAATCTCGTCTGGCGGGGAAGCCACCATCGGCCAGTTCCCATGGCTGGCGTTGTTAGAATCCAAAAGAAGTAATGATATGCGAGTACTTGATTGTTTTTTTATTGTACTTGTTTAGGAAACGGTTCCAAGTACTTCAACTGTGGTGGCGTACTCATCAGCAAGAGATACGTCTTGACGGGGGCGGGGTGTGTCACCAAGAGACTGTGAGTATTTTTTTGGAGTTAGATGAGTATGATTGGAGGTGTTTCAGGACGGGGGTTCGTCTGGGAGAGCACGACACCGCCACGGACCCCGACTGCGTCAAGACTGCATTCAGGGACGACTGCGCGCCGCCTCCGATTGACATCCCCGTGGAGGACACAGTGGTTCATGAAGGTTTCGATAAAGCCAACCCTAACTTATACGACAATATAGCGCTTTTGAGGTTGAAACAAGAAGTGACGATCAATGGTGAGGCGGCAAGTCTTTGTGGTTTGAGGTGGACCTTGATTCGGTGTGTTGTAGATTACATCATGCCTATTTGTCTGCCAACTGAGGACGGAGAATTGTCTAAAAGTTACGTTGGAGAAAGACTTGCGGTTTCTGGATGGGGATTTACCGAAAATATGGCAAATAGTGTTGTTAAGTTGAAGGGTCAAGTACGTATTGAAGTATTCGCTGGTGATTAGACGAATGTGCTTTAGCTTCCAGGGAGGAATCATTCGTACTGTGAAGATATGTACAGGAAACATAATTTTAACTTAACTTTGAAGGATAGCCAGTTGTGTGCTGGTGGAGAAAGAGGAAACGATTCCTGCAAAGGGAATGCTGGGGCGCCGTTAATGGTGCTCAGGCCGGGTCAACATGGTTCTCAATGGTATGTCGTTGGGTTGTTCTCGTTTGGGCCGCAGCCGTGTAACATGGAGAATTGGGGGGACGTTTATACGAGGGTGTCCAAATACGTAACGTGGATTAAGAGTAAACTTAGATCTTAGTCGTTGAACAAAACTATTGTGTTTAATAATACTCAGGAGATAATAAAAATATCAAAATATGACGTCAGTTTGACTGAACGCAGACATCCCCATTTTTTTAAATCTTCCAGAATCTATACACAAAGAGCTCCGATTTGCTCTCTGACCTTTTTCAACTTTAAGACAACCAACATCGTCCAATACATTCGTTCTCTACAACTAAACCACCAAGGACGTAATATTGGTGATTTTTTTTTTTAAATCAAAAAAGTCCAAGAAATCCAATAGTTTTAATTTCAACTACGTAGCACCAGTGGTTCTCAAGTTACGAATTTTCAGAGTTGAAAACAATTTTTTGACCACGCGACTAAAATGAAATGAAGGCGGATTTTTCTTGAACGGTTACAAATTCCCAACAACTGATTGCGAAAATCAATTCAGCAGTGTCGAATTGATCTTGGACCAAAATTCTGTGTCGATCTCAAAATTTTGAGTTTTTTCTCGTTTTTAGTTCCAGTCAGGAATTAGTCAGATTTTGAGAATTTTCTCAAAAGGCACAAATCTTTCTGAAATTCGCTCCACTTACTAATTAGCACCTCCTGAACAAGAGCTTTCTGAAGCCGCATAAATTTTTTAGGAGCTGACTTTTCCAACTTTACGAAAACTAACGTCATCCGTTACATTCGTTCTGTACAACTAAACCACCAAAGACGTAATATTGGCGATTTTTTTTCTAAATTAGAAAAGTCCAAGGAATCCAACAGTTTTGATTTCAGCTACGTATCGCCAGTGGTTTTCAAGTTACGAATTTTCAAAGTTGAAAACAATTTTTTGAGCACGCGACTAAAAGGAAATGAAGCCGGATTTTTCTTGAACCGTTACAAATTCCCAACAACTGATTGCGAAAATCAATTCAGCAGTATCGAATTGACTTTGGACCAAAATTTCAGGTCAATCTCAAACTTTTGACTTTTTTGTCATTTCAGTCAATTAGTCAAATTTTAAGAATTTTCTCAAAAGGCACAGATATTCTTGAAATTTGTTCCACTTACTAATTGGAACCTCCTGAACAAGAATTTGGCTTCAGATTTCTTCTCTGAAGCTGCAATAATTTTTAGGACCTCACCTTTTCCAACTTTAAGAAAACTAACATCGTTCGATACATTCGTTCTCTACAACTAAACCACCAAAGACGTAATATTGGCGATTTTTTCTTTTTTCTAAATTAGAAAAGTCCAAGAAATCCAACAGTTTTTATTTCAGCTACGTATCGCCAGTGGTTCTCAAGTTACGAATTTTCAAATTTGAAAACAATTTTTGGAGCACGCGACTAAAAAGAAATGAAGGCGGATTTTTCTTGAACCGTTACAAATTCCCAACAACTCATTGCGAAAATCAATTCAGCAGTGTCGTATTGACTTTGGACCAAAATTTTAGCTCGATCTCAAAATTTTGAGTTTTTTCTCGTTTTTAGTTCCAGTCATGAATTAATCAGATTTTGAGAATTTTCTCAAAAGGCACAAATCTTCCTGAAATTTGCTCCACTTACTAATTAGCACATCCTGAACAAGAATTTCGCTTCAGATTTGCTTTCTGAAGCCGTATAAATTTTTTAGGAGCTGACATTTTTCAACTTTACGAAAACTAACGTCATCCGTTACATTCGTTCTCTACAACTAACCCACCAAAGACGTAATATTGGCGATTTTTTTTATAAATTAGAAAAGTCCAAGCAATCCAGCAGTTTTGATTTCAGGTACGTGTCGCCAGTGGTTCTCAAGTTACGAATTTCCAAAGTTGAAAACAATTTTTTGAGCACGCGACTAAAATGAAATGAAGGCGAATATTTCTTGAACCGTTACAAATTTCCAACAAATGATTGCGAAAATCAATTCAGCAGTGTCGAATTGACCTTGGACCAAAATTTTAGCTCGATCTCAAAATTTTGAGTTTTTTCTCGTTTTTTGTTCCAGTCAATTAGTCAAATTTTAAGAATTTTCTCAAAAGGCACAGATATTCTTGAAATTTGCTCCACTTACTAATTAGAACCTCCTGAACAAGAATCTGGCTTCAGATTTCTTCTCTGAAGCTGCAGTAATTTTTAGGACCTCACCTTTTCCAACTTTAAGAAAACTAACATCGTTCGATACATTCGTTCTGTACAACTAAACCATCAAGGGTCTAACATTGGAGATTTTTTTTCTAAATTAGAAAAGTCTAAGGAATCCAACAGTTTTGATTTCAGCTACGTATCGCCAGTGGTTCTCAAGTTACGAATTTTCAAATTTGAAGACAATTTTTTGAGCACGCGACTAAAAGGAAATGAAGGCGGATTTTTCTTGAACCGTTACAAATTCCCAACAACTGATTGCGAAAATCAATTCAGCAGTATCGAATTGACCTTGGACCAAAATTCCAGGTCGATTTCAAAATTTTGAGTTTTTTCTCGTTTTTAGTTCCAGTCACGAATCAGATTTTGAGAATTTTCTCAAAAGACACAAATCTTCCTGAAATTTGCTCCACTTACTAACTAGAACCTCCTGAACAAGAATTTCGCTTCAGATTCGCTTTCTGAAGCCACATAAATTTTTTAGGAATTGACTATTTCCAACTTTACGAAAACTAACGTCATCCGTTACATTCGTTCTCTACAACTAAACCACCAAAGACGTAATTTTGGCGATTTTTTTTTTATAAATTAGAAAAGTCCAAGGAATCCAACAGTTTTGATTTCAGGTACGTATCGCCAGTGGTTCTCAAGTTACGAATTTTCAAATTCGAAAACAATTTTTTGAGCACGCGACTAAAATGAAATGAAGCCGGATTTTTCTTGAACCGTTACAAATTTCCAACAAATGATTGCGAAAATCAATTCAGCAGTGTCGAATTGACCTTGGACCAAAATTTTAGCTCGATCTCAAAATTTTGAGTTTTTTCCCGTTTTTAGTTCCAGTCACGAATTAATCAGATTATGAGAATTTTCTCAAAAGACACAAATCTTCCTGAAATTTGCTCCACTTACTAACTAGAACCTCCTGAACAAGAATTTCGCTTCAGATTCGCTTTCTGAAGCCGCATAAATTTTTTAGGAACTGACTATTTCCAACTTTACGAAAACTAACGTCATCCGTTACATTCGTTCTGTACCACTAAACCACCAAAGACGTAATATTGGCGATTTTTTTTCTAAAATAGAAAAGTCCAAGGAATTCAACAGTTTTGATTTCAGCTACGTATTGCCAGTGGTTCTCAAGTTACGAATTTTCAAATTTGAAAACAATTTTTTGAGCACGCGACTAAAAGGAAATGAAGGTGGATTTTTCTTGAACCGTTACAAATTCCCAACAACTGATTGCGAAAATCAATTCAGCAGTATCGAATTGACCTTGGACCAAAATTTCAGGTCAATCTCAAACTTTTGACTTTTTTGTCATTTTTTGTTCCAGTCAATTAGTCAAATTTTGAGAATTTTCTCAAAAGGCACAGATATTCTTGAAATTTGCTCCACTTACTAATTGGAACCTCCTGAACAAGAATCTGGCTTCAGATTTCTTCTCTGAAGCTGCAATAATTTTTAGGACCTCACCTTTTCCAACTTTAAGAAAACTAACATCGTTCGATACATTCGTTCTCTACAACTAAACCATCAAGGACCTAACATTGGCGATCTTTTTTCTAAATTAGAAAAGTCTAAGGAATCCAACAGTTTTGATTTCAGCTACGTATCGCCAGTGGTTCTCAAGTTACGAATTTCCAAAGTTGAAAACAATTTTTTGAGCACGCGACTAAAATGAAATGAAGGCGAATATTTCTTGAACCGTTACAAATTTCCAACAAATGATTGCGAAAATCAATTCAGCAGTGTCGAATTGACCTTGGACCAAAATTTTAGCTCGATCTCAAAATTTTGAGTTTTTTCTCGTTTTTTGTTCCAGTCAATTAGTCAAATTTTAAGAATTTTCTCAAAAGGCACAGATATTCTTGAAATTTGCTCCACTTACTAATTAGAACCTCCTGAACAAGAATCTGGCTTCAGATTTCTTCTCTGAAGCCGCATACATTTTTTAGGAACTGACTTTTTCCAACTTTACGAAAACTAACGTCATCCGTTACATTCGTTCTCTACAACTAAACCACCAAAGACGTAATATTGGCGATTTTTTTTTTCTAAATTAGAAATGTCCAAGGAATCCAACAGTTTTGATTTCAGCTACGTATCGCCAGTGGTTCTCAAGTTACGAATTTTCAAATTTGAAAACAATTTTTTGAACACGCGACTAAAATGAAATGAAGGCGGATTTTTCTTGAGCCGTCATAAATTTTCAACAATTGATTGCGAAAATCAATTTAACAGTGTCGAATTGACCTTGAAACAAAATTTCATGTCGATCTCAAAATTCTGAGTTTTTTCTCGTTTTTTGTTCCAGTCACGAATTAATCAGATTTTGAGAATTTTTTCAAAACGCACAGATCTTCCTGAAATTTGCTCCACTTACTAATTAGGACCTCCTGAACGAGAATCTAGCTTCAGATTTGTTCTCTGAGGCTGCAATAATTTTTTAGGAGCTGACCTTTTCCAACTATCGTCCGATACATTCGTTCTCTACAACTAAACCTCCAAGGACCTAATATTGGCGATTTTTTTTCTAAATCAGAAAAGTTCAAGCAATTCAACAGTTTTGAATTTAGATACGTATCTCTAGTGGTTCTCAAGTTACGAATTTTCAAATTTGAAAACAATTTTTTGAGCACGCGACTAAAATGAAATGAAGGCGGATTTTTCTTCAACCGTTATAGATTCTCAACAACTGATTACAAAAATCAATTCAGCAGTTTCGTATTGACTTTGGACCAAAATTTCAGGTCAATCTCAAACTTTTGACTTTTTTGTCATTTTTTGTTCCAGTCAATTAGTCAAATTTTAAGAATTTTCTCAAAAGGCACAGATATTCTTGAAATTTGCTCCACTTACTAATTGGAACCTCCTGAACAAGAATCTGGCTTCAGATTTCTTCTCTGAAGCTGCAATAATTTTTAGGACCTCACCTTTTCCAACTTTAAGAAAACTAACATCGTTCGATACATTCGTTCTCTACAACTAAACCATCAAGGACCTAACATTGACGATTTGTTTTCTAAATTAGAAAAGTCTAAGGAATCCAACAGTTTTGATTTCAGCTACGTATCGCCAGTGGTTCTCAAGTTACGAATTTTCAAAGTTGAAAACAATTTTTTGAGCACGCGACTAAAATGAAATGAAGGCGGATTTTTCTTGAACCGTTACAAATTCCCAACAACTGATTGCAAAAATCAATTCAGCAGTATCGAATTGACCTTGGACCAAAATTTCAGGTCGATCTCAAAATTATGAGTTTTTTCTCGTTTTTAGTTCCAATTACGAATTAGTCACACTTTGAGAATTTTCTCAAAAGGCACACATCTTCTTGAAATTTGTTCTTCTTACTGCTTAGAACCTCCTGAACAAGAATATGGATTCAGATTTGCTCTCTGAGGCCGCAATAATTTTTTAGCAGCTCACCTTTTCCAACATTAAGAAAACAGACATCGTCGGATAAATTCGTTCTCTCCAACTAAACTACTCAAGGCGTAATATTGGCGATTTTTTTATAAATCAGAAAAGGCTAAGGAATCCAGGAATCAATGGTTCTCAAGTTATTAATTTTCAAACCAACTGACTGCGAAAATCTGATCGTTAAAAAAACTTTATTGTATTATCACTGATACATTTTACAACAATAAGCGAACATTGTATCATTATCTAGACAATCAAATTTATAAAAATTAGAGCTCCAGATGCGCTACTACCCACTCAACATACTTTGAAACCCTTGTATAAACCTCAAGAGTGCAAGACCCCGCCATCCCAAAAGACGACACGCCGATGGCATACCACCTGGTGATTTTCCTTATTTTGTCAGTACCTATCGCCATCAAAGCGCTTCCCCCATTGCCCTTACACCACATTTGCCCTTCTTCGCCGCTGGCGCACAACTGATTTTCTGTGACCCTCGCAATCCCAGTTAACTTCACAGAACATTCGCTGGAATTTCGAACAAGAATCTAAACACCAACAATTAAATTTTTTGAATAAATTTAAACTCACTTGGTCCTTTAGTTTAATTTTAGGTGGTCCTTTAATCCCGGTAATGGTCCACCCGGCTACGAAGAGTTTCTTTCCCACGTAGCTTCGGGTCAGCTCTTGAGTCGTCATCGGTAGACACAACGGTTGAACAAAATCTGCAAAAACGGACTTAGTTGACACTAAAAGCACACACCGAGTGGACAAACCCGAAAACTCTACTTCTTTTTTCAGTCTCACTAAAGCTATGTCGTCGTGGTGTCCCGGGAGCTTGTAATTTTCGTGGACTACGACTTTCTCCACCTCGCGGTCAATAGATTTATCTGCACACTCTTCCCCAAAACCGTAGTCGACACAATCCGGGTCCGTATCGATGTCGTATTCGCCTAGTCGTACGCTAACCCTAGAAAAAAACAAGAATTTTTTCGAACGAGGAGTTTAATCGAACGACGCTCACACGCTCCATTTTCGTTTCTTGGCGACTTCGATACAGTTTGCAGCTGTTAATACGTATCTAGTACTGATTAGAGCACCGCCGCAGTAGAAACCTCGTCGAGACTCTGAAGTGTTATACTCTAGGAGAACCATCCACGGAAATTCGTACAGATCCGGGTGTTCTCTACCGAACGTTCTGTAAGGGTTGTACAGTCCGCATTCATCTGTGGTCGGTAAGAGATTGCTAGTAGCAGCTGCAAAATCTGTAAACAAATAGTAAAAATTTGCACAAGAAGTAATCCCCCTACCGAATGAATCCGGTTCAATAGGACCAGTTTTGTTGTTCGTGGACGAGCCAAAGGGACAACATGCTTTAGGTGACGCTCCTACGAACCCGCACGTAGAATTCTTGAGGTAAAGTATATCACTGGAAGCCAAAGGTCTTCGGGACAGTCGTTTCAGAAGAGGTTCGCATTCGTTAGCGAGCTTGCAATCTCCGTTTAAACCGTCGGGGGTTTTACAAGGAGTAACTGTCGCCAAAACAAATCTTTAAAGCTGAATCAGGTTCCGGTATTTAAAAGCAAAGAAATCGTAATTTTTTACCTCCAGTTGCACCCACTACGATCCCAAATAACAAAAACACAAGAAGGAACATGTTCTGACGATATGCGTCGAGAACGAAAGATGAATACAGAGTCAGTGGCAGTCGAACTAGCGCAGTAACTGTTACTGGTTCCAAGTGTTCGTGAGTTTGCGGTAAGAACATCGGCGATAACCTTGATTTTTGTCGTGATCTGTATTTTAACCTCTTCTCGATAACTCAAAAATTGCAGCAAATAAAAAGTGTGTATAACCTTCCTTTCAATTTAAATAAAGGGTTCCTCAAAAATGAAGTAGTAAGTGAATTGTATTTAGAACAAGTATGACGGTGGTCTGTAAACAAGGTACAAAAAGAAAGGTAGAGTTAACGGTGGAAATCTAAGGTTACCAGGTGTCGAGTTAACCCGAACATGTTTCGTCTTTCCAAATAAGATACAAAAAATATGTTATCGGCAACACAACTGGTTCCTTTCTGTTATAACACCTTCGCATTATATTGCTCGAATGCCCCCTGCCCTAATCAAAATCAGTGATTAATTACGTAGAATCCTGTATCTCAAAATAACTGTATAAGGATATATTATTTACAACACATGTGCAGAAATACACACTTATTTTTATTGTAAGTACTTACCTGTGCTGCTCCTACTGTTGTTTCCAGTACTACACTAAACGTTAGCAAGTTGTCACAAACATCATACTGTCTTCCACTGTTTTGTGGAATTAAAATCGTCTTAGTTATGAACAAAGTGTTTCTTTTCCGCACTAGTGAGATTGTACGAAAGTGCAATAATAACGTAGGTAATGTTATCGCCACGCAAGTAAAGAACACGAAGACTGGGAATTAAAAGCACAAAAATCTGAAACGAACAAAGAAAATCTCGAAAAGGTTAAAAAAGTGATAAATGCAAGAACAGGAAAAGGACGATAATTAAAAAAGGTACAGTCCGAAGTCCAAACAGTCAACGCTAGAAATTTATTTCTAGCTTGTTTTGTTTATCAAATGAAACATTGATCCAAGTTTATTTAGACTGAACTTCTTGTCCCTCAAGTACAATGAAGCACATCCAGTTCCTTAGAAAAATTCTAAAATTTGATTTTGCTAACTGTTTTATTTTATGTTAACTGTAAATTAAAAGAAGGATATTTGTGGACTGTCAAACTACTAGTAAAGAAGTGTGCTATGCGTCATCAATTCTTTAACAAGGACAAGAAAAACGACAAATAAAAGACAAAAAGGACAAATAAAAACGAAAAAAACAACAACAAAAATACGACAAAAACGAGAGAAAAGGGAAAGAACACCAGACAAAAAAAAGTAAAAAATGTAATAAAACCTGGAAAAAGACGACTACAAAAAAACGACAAAGGTGATAAAAGAAGTCAAGAAAAATAGACGATAAAAAATGCAACAACAAAAATTAGAAAAAAGGCGACATAAAACGACCAAAGAAAGGCAACACAAAGACATTAACAAAAAATTGGTCTAAAGAGTTTAGACAGTACTTCCCTCGCTGTCGGAAACTTGACGACTGCATGCCTATTGTGTTTTTTTTCTCATTACATTTTTGTAGTGGGAATTTAAAAAAAAATTGCGATGACGTCATCAACATTTTTGCAAGGACACGTATATCAGTTGGGATAGATGTAGTGTAATACTAAGAATAAAATTATTATATTCTCAAATTTTCGGGAAAATGAATTGGGTCGTTTGAATATTGATTTGTAATAATCAATAAAATAACGAAACAATTTACTCACGTATACCTACGTATCAGAGGCAACTGAAAATCGTGTATGTATAAACATTCTTAATTTAAGATGACAGGCGTAACAGCATACGTGAGAGCCAAACACAGAAACTGTAAACAAAACGACCGTCGGTTTTATTGCTTCGACTTCCGCTTATTATATAAAACATTGGGTTTTATTTTAATTCTTGACGGTGAAATTCACAATTGGTTGATTATAAACATGTCTATTTCACATTCGGGGAATCAAGTGAACGCATAAAACAAATGCAGGTCTGTAATGTTAAAGTCGATGTAAATAAGCGTGCTACCCTTATGTTTCAACCGAGTTTTTCCTTTAACAAATTTTGTGTCTACCAAATTGGGTTGGTTGGGGTGTAATACTAATAATAAGTGTTGCCTTTAATTTAATCAATAAAATAAATTGACTTCATTAATTTTTTTGAACCACCTCTTAAGAAAATCTAAAAAATATGAATGGAATGATAAATCACAAGTACAAACTCATCATATTTTTTGCATTTTAGATAGGATTTATTCAGCAAAATTTAAGGGTGACGTCATCAATTTTTTTAGGAGGGATGAACAAATACATTTTGAACAAAAGTTTACCATGCTTATAATAACTTTAAAATATTCCCAAGATTTCAAAGCATTCGGTTTTGTAATTCCTGATTAAATCGATAAAATAAATTCACGCCTTCATTAATTTTTTTGAGTCACCCTGCATATGCAAATCCAAAAATATGAATGGAATGATAAATCACAAGTACAGACTCATCATATTTTGTACATTTTAGATATGATTTATTCGGAAAACTTTTGAGCTGACGTCATCAGTTTTTTGTAGAAGACAACCAAATATATTTTGACTAAAAATTTATTATGCTCTTTATAACCTTAAAACATCTGCAAGATTTCAAAGCATTCGGTTTTGTAGTTCCTGATTAAATCAATAAAATAAATTTACGCATTCATTAATTTTTTTGAGTCACTCTGTATATGCAAATCCAAAAAATATGAATGGAGTGATAAATGACAAGTACAGGCTCATCATATTTTGTACATTTTAGATATGATTTATTCGGCAAACTTTCGAGCTGACGTCATCAAGTTTTTGGAGGGGATAAGCAAATATATTTTGACTAAACATTTATTATGCTCTTTATGACCTTAAAACATCTGCAAGATTTCAGAGCATTCGGTTTTGTAGTTCCTGATTAAATCAATAAAATATATTTACGCATTCATTAATTTTTTTGAGTCACCCTGTATATGCAAATCCAAAAAATATTAATGGAGTGATAGTTCACAAGTACAGACTCATCATATTTTGTACATTTTAGATATGATTTATTCCACAAACTTTTGAGCTGACGTCATCAAGTTTTTGGAGGGGATAAGCAAATATTTTTTGACTAAAGATTTATGATGCTCTTTATAGCCTTAAAACATCTGCAACATTTCAAAGCATTCTGGTTAGCAGATTAAAAATTAAATTTCAAAATGTTGTTTTATAATTTTGATTTTTTTTCCAAAAATCTGGACGTTTCGGGTGAAAAGTCGATTCAGAGTTGTAAACTACATGTGTAGGACTATGTTATTTTATACAATTGAAAACCCATTTACTATGTACAATTTTGAAGTGACGTCATCGCTTTAGTAGTGGGGATGATTCGACAAATTTTGGTTAGCGTTTTACCATCTACATGATATTCTTAATATAAGTACAAAATTTCACAACAATCGGTCGAGTACTTTCGGAGATTATCTGTCTAATAAAAATCCGTGACAACAGACGGACAGACGGACAGACGGACAGACGGACGGACGGACAGACGGACAGACGGACAGACAGACGGAAATGGGAGACCTATTTCTTCGTCTTCTAGGGGTCATGAAAGATCGAGAAAACGTAAAAGTAGAGAGTCGGCCGACGGACTCGATTACAATACTTCCTTTGCTTACGCTCGGGAAGTAAAAAGGGAACAAAAAAACGCGACGACAAAGATGACAAAAAAAAACAAAAATGAAGGAAAAAACAAACTTCCCTCGCCTTTGAAATACAATACTGCATATCCAGCTTTTTCAAAAAATAATAAAATTTGATTATGCGAATTTTATTTCTTTTATGAGAACCCTTATAAGTTAAAATAAAGATATGTATGTAACGTTAAAGTAAATGTAAAGAGAGAGAGAGAGAGAGAGAGAGAGTCTGACCCGAACGAAAAAAAAAAACAAAACACGTGAGAATTTGAAAAAACCCCAAAAGAACCCAGAAAATATAGAAAATATTCAAAACGCAAAAACATGAAAACGCAGTAACTGTCAAATACGGTCCAAACGCGTATTTACGGAGTACTTAAAACCCAACGTTTTTAAAATCTTCGGAAAAAGCGTCTGATTCAACGGCAACGTGTCTAGATATATCCTTTTTTACTTCAGCTACTTAAGTTTAACTGCCACATATTAACAAACAAAATTCAAGCTTGGATGTGGTCCAAAATCCACTTCCTGTACTTGGTCACGTCCGTGTAAATCGCCGGTTTATCAGTTCCACAGTCTCTCGGACCAAACGAAACGAGTCCCACTATGTAGTACCTGGGCGTATCCCCAAAAGCCTCAACTCTCATGACGGGCCCTCCCGAGTCTCCTCTGCACGAGTCGAATCCTTCGTCCCCTCCCGCACAAAACTGTCCTGGTCCCATCGAAGCGTCCTCCACAATTTCCCTGCATTTGTCCTTGTCGATTATGGGAATGCGAACGTGGAGCAGCACAGTGCTCATTTTGTTCGACACGCCGCTTAATTTGCTGACTCCCCATCCTGCTATTTCCATGAAAGAGCCGACGAAATTTTGTATCATTAGCTGACCGCGCGGCATGCAGATGCTTCCGACGTACGCTGAAAAAAACGTCATTCATAAAAAAATGCGACGAAGCGGTGCGAAAAAGCGTATAGCAGAAATGCTCGTGATAACCCGCTGGCGCCCTCTCTCGTTTAGTTAACTGTCTATTTTTACGCTGCAACAAAACCCAGTTGAAGCGATTCTTTATTCATACATAAAGTAGTAACATGTCACACTTCCACGTTGTCCAAAATCCACACTACATATTTGGACACATCCGTATAGACGGCCGGTACGGCACTGCCACAATTCACACTTCCGAATGATACAATCCCTATTATATAAAACCTTGGTGGTCCATCGATGGCCTGTGGAGCCATTAACGGTCCTCCTGAGTCGCCTCCGCACGAGTCGTAGCCATTTTGACCGCCGGCGCACAATTGTCCCGGGCCCGTCGTGGCAAAATGCCGCAAAATCCTGTTGCAGTGAGCCAGTGGGACAAACGGGATGCGCACGTGCAGAAGAATCGGGCTAATCATCTGATGTTCGTTTAGGCCCCATCCGGCTACCTGTGCGGTAGTACCAATGTATTCTCTGGTCAGAAGGGGACCATATGGGAGACAAATGGAATTCACGTATTCTGGAAAATCAAACAATGGGGTTGAGACGGGAAATCTGCGAAGATGATTGCAGAAGGAGCTAAGAGCTGAAAATTAAAGGCGAAAGAAACAAAGACGAAAAAGACATCTCGCAGGGAGCATCAAAAAAAGAATAGCTAAAGATTTCAGACAGGAAAACAGATGATGGGTAACAAATGTAGAGAGAAAGAAACTTTATAGGCGAAATTTCTAAAAATCAGAAACAGCACAAAAATGTGAAAATGATATGAGAGAAAATGTGAATTTGTCTGTAGAAGGATAAGCTTAAAAAGTGGATAGAGATATCAAAGAGGAAACACTACAGAAAAAAGTAAGGTTGACAGATCAAATCTCAGATGCAAAAAGGACGCAGTAGAGAGGAAGATAGAAACAGAATAAAAAAACAAAAACAAAGAGAATTATAATAAACGTAAGAAAGTGTAAATTTAACAGAACAAAAAGATCTAAATACGCAGCTGAAGAGATTGAAAAAGCATAGGAAAAAGTAAACGAAAGTGCAACAATCATTAAACAACAAAAATCACAAGAAAACAACAATAACAACAAATACTGCAATTTATTAGAGAATGATTCATAAAGGAAAGTTGACATAACAAAGAAATAACACAGAAAGATGGCTCAGACCAAAGAAAACATTAATGAAGTTAAACACACAATGAAGGGCAATAAAAAATGTTCGCAAGTAAGAATAATATGAAACGTAAACAGTCTAGATAAAAGAGAAAACTTGTTTGAGAGAAAGAAAAAAATAGAAAAAGGGCATTCAAAGTTCACACAAAATTCAATAAAATACAACAAAGATAGACAAAAAATAAAAGAAGTGATAGTAAAAAAGGAAGAGACAAAATCATATTCAAAAAATTGGTCTAAAGAGTTTAGACAGTACTTCCCTCGCTGTCGGAAACTTGACGACTGCATGCCTATTGTGTTTTTTTTCTCATTACATTTTTGTAGTGGGAATTTAAAAAAAATTGCGATGACGTCATCAACATTTTTGCAAGGACACGTATATCAGTTGGGATAGATGTAGTGTAATACTAAGAATAAAATTATTATATTCTCAAATTTTCGGGAAAATGAATTGGGTCGTTTTGAATATTGATTTGTAATAATCAATAAAATAACGAAACAATTTACTCACGTATACGTATCAGAGGCAACTGAAAATCGTGTATGTATAAACATTCTTAATTTAAGATGACAGGCGTAACAGCATACGTGAGAGTCAAACAGAGAAACTGTAAACAAAACGACCATGGGTTTTATTGCTTCGACTTCCGCTTATTATATAAAACATTGGGTTTTATTTTAATTCGTGACGGTGAAATTCACAATTGGTTGATTATAAACATATCTATTTCACATTCGCGGAACCAAGTGAGCGCATAAAACAAATGCAGGTCTGTAATGTTAAAGTCGATGTAAATAAGCGTGCTACCCTTATGTTTCAACCGAGTTTTTCCTTTAACAAATTTTGTGTCTACCAAATTGGGTTGGTTGGGGTGTAATACTAATAATAAGTGTTGCCTTTAATTTAATCAATAAAATAAATTGACTTCATTAATTTTTTTGAACCACCTCTTAAGAAAATCTAAAAAATATCAATGGAATGATAAATCACAAGTACAAACTCATCACATTTTTTGCATTTTAGATAGGATTTATTCAGCAAAATTTAAGGGTGACGTCATCAATTTTTTTAGGAGGGATGAACAAATACATTTTGAACAAAAGTTTACCATGCTTATAATAACATTAAAATATTCCCAAGATTTCAAAGCATTCGGTTTTGTAATTCCTGATTAAATCGATAAAATAAATTCACGCCTTCATTAATTTGTTTGAGTCACCCTGCATATGCAAATCCAAAAATATGAATGGAATGATAAATCACAAGTACACACTCATCATATTTTGTACATTTTAGATACGATTTATTCGGCAAACTTTTGAGCTGACGTCATCAGTTTTTTGTAGAAGATAACCAAATATATTTTGACTAAAAATTTATTATGCTCTTTATAACCTTAAAACATCTGCAAGATTTCAAAGCATTCGGTTTTGTAGTTCCTGATTAAATCAATAAAATAAATTTACGCATTCATTAGTTTTTTTGAGTCACCCTGTATATGCAAATCGAAAAAATTTGAATGGAATGATAAATCACAAGAAGAGACTCACCATATTTTGTACATTTTAGATAGGATTTATTCAGCAAAATTTTGTGGTGACATCATAAATTTTTTAGGGGGGACGACCAAATACGTTTTGATCAAAAATTTATCATGCTTATGATAATTTTAAAATATCTTCAAGATTTCGAAGCATTCGGTTTTGTAGTTCCTGAGTAAATCAGTAAAATAAATTTACGCTTTCATTTATTTTCTTGAATCACCCTGTATATGCAAATCCAAAAAATATGAATGGAGTGATAGATCACAAGTACAGACTGATCATATTTTGTACATTTTAGATATGATTTATTCGGCAAATTTTCGAGCTGACGTCATCAAGTTTTTGGAGGGGATAAGCAAATATATTTTGACTAAACATTTATTATGCTCTTTATAACCTTAAAACATCTGCAAGATGTCAGAGCATTCCGTTTTGTAGTTCCTGATTAAATCAATAAAATATATTTACGCATTCATTAATTTTTTTGAGTCATTCTGTATATGCAAATCCAAAAAATATGAATGGAGTGATAAATGACAAGTACAGGCTCATCATATTTTGTACATTTTAGATATGATTTATTCGGCAAACTTTCGAGCTGACGTCATCAAGTTTTTGGAGGGGATAAGCAAATATATTTTGACTAAACATTTATTATGCTCTTTATAACCTTAAAACATCTGCAAGATGTCAGAGCATTCCGTTTTGTAGTTCCTGATTAAATCAATAAAATATATTTACGCATTCATTAATTTTTTTGAGTCACTCTGTATATGCAAATCCAAAAAATATGAATGGAGTGATAGATCACAAGTACAGACTCATCATATTTTGTACATTTTAGATATGATTTATTCCACAAACTTTTGAGCTGACGTCATCAAGTTTTTGGAGGGGATAAGCAAATATTTTTTGACTAAAGATTTATGATGCTCTTTATAGCCTTAAAACATCTGCAACATTTCAAAGCATTCTGGTTAGCAGATTAAAAATTAAATTTCAAAATGTTGTTTTATAATTTTGATTTTTTTTCCAAAAATCTGGACGTTTCGGGTGAAAAGTCGATTCAGAGTTGTAAACTACATGTGTAGGACTATGTTATTTTATACAATTGAAAACCCATTTACTATGTACAATTTTGAAGTGACGTCATCGCATTAGTGGTGGGGATGATTAGACAAATTTTGGTTAGCGTTTTACCATCTACATGATATTCTTAATATAAGTACAAAATTTCACAACAATCGGTCGAGTACTTTCGGAGATTATCTGTCTAATAAAAATCCGGGGGCAGACGGACAGACGGACGGACAGACGGACAGACAGACGGAAATGGGAGACCTATTTCTTCGTCTTCTAGGGGTCATGAAAGATCGAGAAAACGTAAAAGTAGAGAGTCGGCCGACGGACTCGATTACAATACTTCCTTTGCTTACGCTCGGGAAGTAATAAAAGAAGTGATAGTAAAAAAGGAAGAGACAAAATCATATTCAAAAAAACGCATAAAAGCTTACAATTAAACAATTAAAATTAAACAGGAGTTGAAGATAGAGAAGACAGGGTTTATCAAATAAAATATGTAAGAACAAGAAATAAAAGAATAAAATGAGAAAAGTGTGTAACATATAAAGGGTAATAAACACGAGATTAAATTAATAATAAGGGATATAAAAACAACTTTACAAAAAAGTTAAATATATAGTAATGAAAGTCAACATGTGAAAGATCCAGGTCACAGAAGTGAAGTAAGGTGTAAAACAAGAGTAACAACAATAAAGAAGATAAGATGGAAGAAACAGAACACCGAAGGACCGAAAAATTTGGTTTATAAAGTTAACACCGTTTCAGAGTTATGTATCCATTTTCAGTGACTGAATAAAGTAAAAGTGCATTAACAAAGAACGCCCACTTGAAAGCATTCATTACTAGACAGCGGATTTCTGTCGGGCTACGTCACGATTTTAGTGGGGACGCGCTGCATCGCCGGGACTCAGTAGCGGGTGATAGGTAATCACTGAATTTAATTGTCACTTTATTCCATAAATACAATTAACGATTTATTAATCAAACGGCTAACTAAATGAGAACTGGAATTAACAGCAGAGTGCAACGAAGCAGCGTTATTCTAATCTCAAATAAACGAAGTGCAGCCGGTAACTGCAATGAATTCCCATCCCGTACGAGCCGTACCGAGTTTGGCCTTGTCTAGCCCGACAGAAATCCGCTCTCTATTCATTACCGAACACCCGTCACAGTATTATTCCATTAATTTGCAACGCATTTCGACCGTGTTGTAATCACGGACACGCTAAATACCGAAATTACTGGCGATTCTTGTAGGTTCTAATTTATTTTGGTAATTAAGGATTTATCAGCACGGCATTGTTCAATTTAAATTCTAAACAACTTCATAAAACAGTGCACTAGTAACGAGTAGTTGCAGAATTTACAATTTACAAGTTCTAGTCGAACACGTGCAATAATTACTTTCAAAAACGGAAATTGGGCAGTTTCGCGTCACTCTTCAAGCCGATCACAGACGAGTTCTCGGCGGGAAAACCGGCAAAACCCGACGAAATATTTAATGCTCTTAACTGCTCAGTTAGTAATCTGTACCGACACCTACAGACCCAGCAACAGTAAAAAATCTTACGAGTAATCTTAGCCGGTCGATCCAGCCTTATCAGCGCAATGTCGTTCCTCATGGCCGGTTGCTGGAACTTCTCGTGGGATATAACCTTGTCAGGCCGAAAGTCCTGCACAGGAGGGGCGCACACCGCGTCTTCGCAGTCTTTCCTAGTCCTCGTGTTGTGTTCACCCAACCTTATCCGCACCCTGAAAATCCCGATTGGTATTCATCCAGAAAAAGCACGAGGTGCTCCTTACATCCGCTCACCCTTCAGCCCCGACACGCAATGGGCCGCCGTCAGGACGTATAAGGGGTTGATGAGCGACCCCCCGCACTTGTAGCGAGGGGTGGACGAAGAAAACAGCTTCCTGGTGTAGCCCAGCTGCGCCATCCACGGGAACTGTCCCAGGGTGGCCACGTTGCCGCCGATGATCTTATCGCTGACGCTCTCGCCGCACCCGTCATGGTCCAGCAGATACCAGTTCGGGTGGGACTCGTCGGCCGCGGCCACTGGAAAGCGTTATCGACGAATGCGGGCGCTAAGTCATGGTACTTACGCAGCTTCAGGAAATGTATGAGGAAAACCAACCGCACGATCTTCATGATCAATCTACCGGGGGATAACAATCATGGAAATGGAAAACACGTTAAAAACAATAAGTCATTTCAAACAGGTGATAAGGTTTTACGATCTCTAAATACGTAATTGGCCGAGAAATTTCGCATCATGTACCGTCACATCATTCGGTCGCAATTCAGTACGCCGTTTTTGGTTGAGATTTGGTTTAGTGTCGCTGATTCGACTTCAGCGAGCAGAAATGGCGAGGGCGGTAAGCTGCGAGGGGAGGAGGTGCGAAATTAACAAAATAAATAATACGTTGAGAGGAAATACTTTATTCATAGTTGACAATTATGTTGGTTTTGACGACAAAATTTTTCGGTGTCACCGAAAACAATTAAATATGCATCGTCATTCGTGTTAAAATAATTTTGATTTCTTATGCTTTAAAAAATTTAAATACTTGTCGGCCCACGAAATCTTGTGGGACACGTTCATAAATTTTTTTTACAAAACTCGTGTTGCTCCGCAGTATCACTCATACTCGCAAAAATGCATTTTTTGGCCATGTAATCCAAACAACTATTGTAAGAATTCCAATATTTTTTATAGCTCGTTCGATAAATTCCGTAATGAGCATAGCCGAATATTTGCAATAATCTGCCGTAACTATCTGATGCAATTAAAATTTATAATCAAAACGATAATGAATAATTGTTTTATTTTTAGTTAAGTGCAGCTTTTGCTTTTCTTTTAGTATCGTTTTCGGTTTTGTTTAGTAAGTAGAGAGGTGCCGATTTTTTTTTTTTTTCACTAGTAGCCATGAAGCATGTAACCGTCGACTTATTTAGAGGTAGCAAAGTTCAACTTTTGCGACCAAGGTTCAAAAAGAAGATTGAGGTTATGTACGAAATACTTGATGTGATTATTTCTTAAAAAATGAATAAATTTGTGCTACTAACATTACTTGAGTATACGCATGGTAGTTGGTAGACGGTGGAACATAAAATGATTATTTCAGCGACAAGTGTAAACGGTTTTCTTTGTGTTGAAGATTTAGATTAAGTTTGACTAGAAATCAAAACAAAATCGTGTTGCGTCAAAAAATTGAACGTTTATTTTTTCAATTTATTGTCTTATGGTTTCTATTAGTGAAAAAAACAGTATATTAACCACGGTTGTAAAGCCACTTCTTGGCTAATAATATACTATTTGTGAGTTCAAACAAATAAAAATATAAAATCTTCCTAGACAATGTTGTTGGTTGAGTTTCCGTACTGTTGTCCGTTGTGTGGTCTCTTACTTTTTGAACGCATAATATGCTGTTGCTATCATTGTTAACTTTAAATTGGAAATGCTTTGTGTTTATAACCCATTATTACTATTGTTATAAAGCTAAAATTTGTTTTGATGTTGTAATAAAACACTAATAACTACGTTTTTGAATTTGAAGTCCCCTTGACACGAATTTCTGATTAGTTTTAATGTTGACTGTCGACTGACGACGAAGCTTTCTTCTCCCTTTTTACTTCTATCCCATTAATTTCCTGAAGTCGCTTCTTCAATTCTGAAACGTCTTTCTCTCATTGTTTAAATTCTTACTATTCAACCTAACATTTTTTCTAAAGCAGAGAAAAAAACTAGCGTTTTCCAACTAGTCCATGGCGTAGTCCGTAGTCCATTCCTATATTATTCATATTAATGACGCGACGCCAGTGGCCTAGTTTCATGCGCTTGCGTCGTGTAAACTGTCATCAAGAGCCAACCACACGTTTTGGTGTATAATTTAAACGTCGGCAAAAATTATTTCACTCATTTATTATAAAAAATGGGCCAAAATAGGCACTTTTAATACAAGAGGTATAATTAATGTGATAAATCGCACTCGGTTCGCAGTGGCCTTTGCCAACAACACACAAGCAGCAATTTTGACAATGACATTTTGTTTTGAAACCAAAAATTTTTAGCTGCAAAAATTTAAGCCACACAATGAGCACCCGCAAGCCCAACAACAATTCAAACCCATCGTCAGAACGCCCCACCAAATTTGAATTCCTGCTAAGTCGAGTACAACTTTTCTACAACCACAAGTACTACTGGGAAGTCTTAAAAAGTGTCGTGCTGTTCATGGTTGGTCTCAAAGTCGCAAACGAATCTTTCCACATAATTATACCAATTAAGAATTACGAGCCGTTTAAGGGACGTTATGGAAAACAATAGGTAGTCAATAAACAGTTTTCACTTACTTACTAGTTTTATTAATTAGCCTTAACAACTTTCTTACTACTTGATACTACGTCACTATCGTCACTGTCGTCGCTGTCTTCAGACCCACTCAGCTCTTCGTCAATCCTAAACAACAACAACAAAATAAATAAATAAATACAAAAAAAAAATAACACATACCACAACTTCGGTTTCTTCCGCTTAACCTCACTCTTGCCGTCAGATTTCCGCTTCCCGCTGCACGACGCCTGCAGCCCTTGCACCACCGCATCTTCAACTTTCTCCGGCAAATCCGAGCGCAGCTTATCGTATTCTGCGTCTTTGAACTCGTGCTTCGGCTTCTCGATCAACCTCTCCAACTTCTTCTGTTTTTTCTCCGCCGCTTCCTTCTCGCGCTCGGCTTGTGCTTCAATCCACTTCTTCAACCTCTGCTCTTCGTTGATGTCGCGCAGGCGACGTCCACTGAGGTCCCTGCAGGCCTCTCTGTTCGTGGTTTTCTCGATCTGGGCACCGATCGCCCTAAGCATTGACCCGAAACCCCCTTTGCCCCCCACCAGCCGCAAAACCACGTCGATTTTGCCGCTGAGCTCGAGCGCATCTTCGGAGACGCGTTTGCCGTTACTCAAAAGGTAGAAATCCGTCTTGGTGAAGGGCTGAAGAAGTATGAAGATCAAAAGAGAGGTTATGTGATTATGGGTTTTACTCACCAGAAGATGGGTGATTTCCTGGAATGTTAGTTGGTGGGGCACTTTAAAAAGAAGTTTATTTTCGAAGTAGAGCTCCATTTCTTGAGGTTTTGTTAAAGAATTTTAAATATTTTTACCACGAATGGAACGATAAAGCTATTCGATCGCTTGTTATTGTAGTCAATTATAGTCACGTGATTGTCTGACTCTTTTGATTGGACGGTGTTCAATTGACGTTTCTGGATAGAACCTGTACCTAAAGTCCCGACAACGGTACTATTGTATTATTACAGAATACCGTACAACTTAATATATGTTCAAATTTATATGTTGACGTTTTAGGACCCAGGATATTCGTTTTGATGAAAATTCCAACGTTGCCTTATTATTGTGGTAAATTTTACGTTCTTTGTTTGATCCAGGTTCAGTTTTTAAGCAAATATTTCCTTATTTTCACGATGCGCAGAGTCCTCAAGGCGAAGTAACTTTTGTTCAATACATTATGTGTATCCAAATACGATTTTTGCGTCTTGTGGTCCGTTATCGGCATTCTGGATTGTTGAAACAAGGGGTTCTCGACACGATCGTTGGACCATCTGGATCTAGAAGATTGCTCTTTAGTTCTGGGGCTTGTTTCTAAGGAACGGCACCGATGGTCGTTTTTCTGTGTCGAAATCGGGAAATTCCAATCAAGTAGCAGTCGCGCCGTCATTTATCTGTCATAAGATACAGCCTTTTGGCTTAACAAATTTTTGTGACAAAATTTCATGGTTGAAAGAATTTGAGTTTCCCGAAGAAATTCCAAGTATGGAATGAATGGCATGGTCCCCTTGATGGATAAAAAGAAATTAAATTTTTGTACCTGCGATAAAGTGTTAGTTATCTTATGGCTTCTCGACTCAGTCCAAGAAATTCTGAAGTAAATGCTTTGGAACAACGTGGATATCTGATCGGTAAAAAAATCGGGCAAGGTTCGTACGCCACCGTACACTTGGCCGAGTACGTGGACGGCTCAGGTCCGAAACGGATGCGACTCGCTTGCAAGATCTTCGACAAAGAGAAGGCCCCCAAAGACTTCCTCGAGAAGTTCTTCCCCCGCGAACTGGAGATCCTGACGAAAATCGAAAACCCGCACATCGTGCAGGTGCACAGCATCTTACAGAGAGGCAGCAGAGTGTTCATCTTCATGAGGTAGGTAAGCCGCGAGCCCGCCCCCACGTTCTCACCCTCTGGTCGCAGGTATGCCGACAACGGCGACCTCCTCGACTTCATCAAGAAGAACAGCATCATCCCCGAGCCGCAGGCCAAGATATGGTTCCGCCAGATGGCCAGCGGCCTGCAGTACCTCCACAGCAAAAACATAGCCCACCGGGACCTCAAGTGCGAGAACATCCTCCTCTCGCGTAGGTTCAACGTGAAGATCGCCGACTTCGGCTTCGCCCGGTTCTGCGTCGACTCGGAGAACCGCCGTATCCTCAGTCAGACCTACTGCGGCTCGGCGGCGTACGCCGCCCCCGAGGTGGTCAACGGCACGCCGTACAACCCCAAGCTGTCGGACGTGTGGTCCCTGGGGATCATCCTGTTCATAATGCTGAACGCGTCGATGCCTTTCGACGACACCAACCTGAGGAAGCTGCTCAAGGACCAGATGACCAAGAACTGGGTGTTCCGGTCGAGGGTGCGCGACACGCTTTCGTCGACCGTCAAATCCTTAGTGCGACATTTGCTGGAACCCGACTTGACGCTGCGGTTGACGCTGGATAGAGTGATGGCCCACGAGTGGCTCAAGATCAAGAAAGATAGAGTATCGCCGCTGATCGGGCGACTGATTCACTCGGCGCCGCAGACGCAGGCGCCGGGGCAGACGGCGGAGACCGACGGCGGTCACGACGAAAACGAAACGGTAGCGGGTGATTTTCAAAATCCTGAGAGTAAGAAAAGCAAGATGATGATTAACGTGCCAGATTCCCAGCTCAGATACTGACTTTTGGTCTTTATTTCGGAAATTTTGATGGGATGGGAGGGCTGATTTGATTACAGAAATAAATCATATTACGTACGATCCTTCAATCAAAAAACACTAAATTTACAAAAAAACTTTATTAAATTACTCGTCATTCTCGACTTCCCCCGTATCCCTAACCTCCTCCCTCTCTTCCTTTTCCATTTCAACGTCTTCTGCTTCCAGCGGTTCGTCTTGAATAGGCACAGGCAATTGTCTCCCTTCTTCTTCCTCTTCCCTTTCGTCCTCGCTGTCAGTATCCCGATCTTCCCCCGGGTGCACCGACACGAAATACTCGTGCTCCTTGACTTCGCAGTCGCCCGGTTTCGTCCACTTCTGCGCTTGCTAAACATAACCATTAAAACCAATACCACCCATCCACCCAAACTTACCTCATAGTAATCCTTCACTTGCTTCACCCGTTCCATGTAGAACGAATACACAAAGTTGGCCATGTGGGTCATATCTTGAACCACCAGTACTTCACCCTGTGGCTTCTGGTTGTTGTACCTAGTAGCGGGATACGCTTCATTCACCACCAAGTTCAAATTAACCGGTCTTTGCGTCAAATAATCGAAAGCCGGGGTCAATTCGAAGCAGTTCTTGAACAAAGCCACCCTTGCGAAGACGTACAACCCCAGTCTGGCACGGGACATCGCTACCACCAGTCGCCTTACATCCCTCAAGTGACCCACAGCTTTGGTCCTCACCAACGACAACAAAATAAAGTCGTTTTGTTGCCCTTGATACTTATCCACGGTGGTTACTTTATGCGGTCTCCCGATCAGAGGATTGTTGGCACACCTGGTGTTAATAACGTCCCGAATGAGGTGTTTCTGCCCGTTGTACGTCGTCAAGATAGTGATTTTGTGGGCGGGGTACCCAATCAGTCTCATGTACATGAAAACGGCGACGCAATACTCCGCCTCCGCTAGATTCTGGTAAAAGTAGGGACTCGGCTCTGATTCCCCCACTCCGTTGAAATCCTGAACGTCGACTAACTGGAAGTCGTAGCCGAAGCCGGCGTTGGCGGTTCGATACTCGGACCAGTTCTCCACGTGGTTCAAATTCCCGAGATTTTTGTACCGCCACTTGTACAAATTACATATACTAGGTCTGGCTCGACCTTGTCCATCCAAATCCACTGTGGGTACCCCCAGACGGACCAACCGGGTGAAAAGGCTCTGCTCCATGTTGGAATACTTCTGGAACGCCATGTTCTTAATCACCGGAGGTAACTGATGATGATCCCCAATCATAATCCACCGTTTCAAACGATTATAGCCATCCTGAGGGTTCTGGAGCAAAAGTGGAATGAAGGTCTCTATTTCCAGAATCTGGGCTGCTTCTTCCATTAGAATGTTGTCGTATTTGAACCCCATCTCCACTAGTTCTTTACGTTTTAGGGCAGCGTGGGTACACGTCATCGCGATTATTTTGGCTTCTTTAACCAAAAGGTACTTCGAACGGTCTAAACCCGACCGCAGAAGCTCGAACGCGCGGAATTCCTCCAACTCTTTGAAGATGTGTTCGATGTACCTGAAGCAACTCTCAGCCACTTCCAAGTCCTCGTCGAAGCTCTTTGCTTTGAAGAGAGGTTGGGCGTCGGCGAAGAACTTGTGGAACGGAAAGTCACTATTAACCTTCTCGATGGCTACCACCTGCTGACGTTTGGGTCTAACAATGCTTTGGTAATTCTCCCATCTGGACAAGATCTGGTACAAGTAGAAATGTCCAGCGGTCTCGCAAGTGTACGCCACGTCTCCTTTCACCTCCAGCGATTCCTGGAGCTTTTGTACTTCCATGAGGAGGTCCAAACGCTTGGCTAAGACATAGTTGACGCGACCGTAGCGACTGAAATCTTTCTCGGTTTCTAAAGCCTCTTCGCCGTGACCCAGACGCAACAGATGACGCTCATCTATATCCAGAGCTACGATCTTCTCGAAGAGCTGGTTAAGCGCTTGGTTAGAATGGGTGACAATCAAGGTCCGCTGATTGGGGAAGTTGTGATAAATGTTGGAGATTATCTGGACTGCGACGTCCGTTTTGCCGGTTCCTGGAGGACCCACAACGAGGGTCAAACCCGGTTGCATCCCGGATTTGATAGCCTCGATTTGTGTAGGTGTAAACGGGATAGTATTCCTGAGAAAAAATATCAATATTGAACAACAAAATCAACAAAAGTTACCTTTTGGGTTCGTTGAAATGATAAGGTCCACGTTTCGGGGTAATATAAGGCTCGACCGTCAAACTTTTCCCTTCTTGATTAGTCCCCAAATCCCCGAAAGTGAGTCTAAAAGGTCGCACCAGCTTCTTGGGGTCGTCAGTTTTGACTTTTATTTTGTAACCCGGGAAGCACGAACGCAGATGATCCATGTCTATGAAACTGTCGTTAAAGTCCATAGTCGTGTATGGGTTGGGCATCTTCGAGTAATGGGCGGCGCTTGGATCGCCGTACCCCAAAATAATATCGTGCAGCCAATCCGGAACGACGCACTCCGTATTCATCAACTCCCTAATCGTTTCAAGCACCGCCTTAAAATTGTTCTCTTTGGGTTTGCGCCTCATCAAAATATTAAACTCCTCGTAGACGTCCTCCTTCCCTTGATTCGTGTTATTCATGTCGTCTCTGTATTGGTTGCAGTCCAGCCACACCCTGTACGTCCTTTTATCCCCCGGGAGCACCGGTCTGGGCTCAGGACCGTCCTCGATTACGCGCCCGTTAGTGTCCAGCATCCCCTCGATTTCGCACCCTCGGACGCTGTGCAGACCCACCTGAGGTATGAAGGGTTGTTTATAGTCGTACTTGGTACCAATGGGATTCGGAGGCTTGACCGAGATTAGGAAGCAAACGTCGTGTTTGCGCAGGTTTTCCCACTCGGATTTGATTTCGGGACGCACGGAGAGGTTAACGGTGACGTCGGCACGGACTCGGCTCGGCCTTTTCTCGCCGATGTTGGGTTTGGCCACCTCTACCACCGCGAAGCTGAGGATGGGCTGGGCCATGCGCGCCCAGCCGCCCCAATAGACGGTACCATCTTCGGCTTTCCTGAAAAAATATGGTTAGATTGGAAAAAGTGGGGGTGGTGGTGGTACCATGGACATAGGCGGCTGACGGCGTCTTCGATGTCTTGTCGAATTTCATCTGGAGCGAAAGAGGTTAATTAGGGTGGTGTTTGACGGCCCGCAGGTTCAGAACGCGAAAATCGAAATCAAACTAGTATTTCAAGTTTTACTTATGAGTAAATAATACAGGGTGGTTAATACATTTTTTGGAACTTTGATCCGTTTTTCGCTTTCTGAACCACCTACAATCACACTTACACGTCGACTCTAATCGAAACAGGTTGAAATTTCTCAAAAGGTAGTCGTGTAGAGTGAGAAACTGCAAATTAAGTTTCGGGAGAGCCAAACACCCCTCTCCCGAAAAATACGCCGTTGGTACCACATTTTCGTCCCAGATGACGTCCTCAGTAGGATACAACGGCATTTCATTCAAAGCCTCCAACTGCGAAGTCCTTTTTTCGTGCCTCGAAATCAAAAGTTCGCGCAAAAACTCCTCATCCAGCCTACACCAATCAATCTCCTTTTCTTCCTCTGGCGCAGGCACCAACTTTAAGTACGTAGCGATAAGCCTCAGCTTATCTCGACTGAAAAACCAATCCGCTTAATTGGGCGGGGCTCAAAGGCGCATGCGTGGAATTCACGAACGCCCGCGAAAATTTAAATTCTAGCGCGAGTTCTCACCTTAACGGCCCGAAGTGCTTCAGAAGCGCCTTGCGGGTGTCAACGCTGGCGACGTTGGCCAAAGCGAAGTTACGCAAGTCTGGGAATTTAGCGAATGCGGCTTTCTGCAAAAAATGCCGTTTTATGAAGCAGGAAGAGGACTGTTATGTGGTGTTGGAATTACCTGGAGTGAAGTAATTTTTGAATAGTGCAATTGTGTCATGTCGTGGTCGGTGAGGGGATCCCCTGTTTCGTCACTTATCTCGAATCGTGCGTAAAACTTGAGCATGTCGAGGAGCTGGAACAGGTAATGGGTAAATTTTAGCTGAGATTAGTGTGACAGTTCTGGGAAGTGATTACAGCTTGGTATGCGTTCTGTGAAAGTTTGTTTGTTTGGATTTTGTAAAGGTAATATAGTAAGTGTGATGGTATACATTTGTTGGTAATTAAAAGTCCAATTGCTATTTTATTTCTATTATTACTGGTTAATTGCTACCGTAATGACAGGGATTTGTGTTTACCTAATTGTACGAAAAAAAAAAGTAAAAATTCAGACTTTTCAATGTCATAACTGTTATTACTTGATTCATAGCATATAATAAAAATGCATGTATTCACGGTTTTGCCAAATTGCACTTAATTCGTTTAGTGGTTGGTGTAAATTGACACACTATAAAAAATCCATTTAAAATTTTTCCGTATATTGTGTGCTAATTCAGTGTAAGTAGTTTTTAGAATTTATTAACCTTGTTAGAGCGCTCTTTTGTCGCCGTTGATTGTTAATCAAATTTCGCTTCAATTTTTTTCTTAGTTAAAAGGCGTTTAGTTTGAAGATGGAAAAATCGTAAATCGCAGCGTCATTTCATCTCAACGCTGTACGCGGAATCCTTATCTGCTGCAACCTCATTTTCTGTGCTATTTTAGTAAAGTGCTCTTCATTTTTTCAAGGCTACAAAAACAAAACTCATCTAAGTTGATTCCGACTCTTATCTCATGCATTGTTTTTCTCTTCGTTAAATAATCTCTATTGTTTTTCTTTCTTGGGAACTTTAGTAATGTCTAATTTGTGGATAATTTGTCTGCAACTTTGGCTTTTCAATTTTTTGGTATCAAAACAGGTCAAAAAGAAAAAACTGGTCGAAAATTATTTCGACAGAACACTATTTGGACTGTACTTCCGAAGTACTGCTTCTTTGAAAAATTATGAAATCTGATTTTGAGGAATTTTACTTTTTCGTGACAACCTCAACTGGTGCCCCCGAGAAGGTTTTACATTTTTAAAAAACACAATAATTGTGACCCCCGAGAAGGTTTCACATTATTTAAAAAAAAAACATTCGGGGCCCCCGAGAAGGTTGTACATATAAAAAAAAAAAAAACAGTTGGGACTCCCGAGAAGGTTTCAGATTAAAAAAAAAACATTTGGCGCCCCGAGAAGGTTTTACATTTTTAAAGAAGATAATTGGGACCCCCGAGAAAGTTTCATATTATTAAAAAAAAATATTTAGGCCTCCGAGAAGGTTTTACATTAAAAAAAAGGTAATTGGGACCCTCGAGAAGATTTCACATTCTAAAAAAAAACATTTGGCGCCCCTGAGAAGGTTTTACATAAAAAAAACAGTTGGGACCCCCGAGAAGGTTTCAGATAAAAAAAAAACATTTGGAGCCCCCGAGATGGTTTTGTATTTTTAAAAAAGATAATTGGGACCCCCGAGAAGGTTTCACAATATAAAAAAAAAAACATTTCGGGCGCTCGAGATTTTCCATCAAAAAAAAAACAGTTGGGACCTCCGAGAAGGTTTCAGATTTAAAAAAAATATTTACCGCCCCCGAGAAGATTTTACAATTTTAAAAAAGACAGTTGGGACCCCCGAGAAGGTTTCACATTCTTAAGAAAATGCATTGGAACCCCTGAGAAGGTTTTACATTTTCAGAAAAGACAGTTGGGACCCTTGAGAAGGTTTTACACTTATGTAAAAAAAGACAACTGGGAGCCCTGAGAAGGTTTCACATTATTAAAAAAAAACCATTTGGGGTCCCGAAGTTTTATATTAAAAAAAAAGTTGGGACCCTGAGAAGGTTTCACATTATTTAAAAAAAAACATTCGGAGCCCCCGAGAAGGTTGTACATATAAAAAAAAAAAGTTGGGACTCCCGAGAAGGTTTCAGATTAAAAAAAAAACATTTGGCGCCCCGAGAAGGTTTTACATTTTTAAAGAAGATACTTAGGACCCCCGAGAAGGTTTCATATTATTAAAAAAAATATTTAGGCCTCCTAGAAGGTTTTACATTAAAAAAAAAGGTAATTGGGACCCTCGAGAAGATTTCACATTCTAAAAAAAAACATTTGGCGCCCCTGAGAAGGTTTTACATAAAAAAAACAGTTGGGACCCCCGAGAAGGTTTCAGATAAAAAAAAAACATTTGGAGCCCCCGAGATGGTTTTGTATTTTTAAAAAAGATAATTGGGACCCCCGAGAAGGTTTCACAATATAAAAAAAAAAACATTTCGGGCGCTCGAGATTTTCCATCAAAAAAAAAACAGTTGGGACCTCCGAGAAGGTTTCAGATTTAAAAAAAATATTTACCGCCCCCGAGAAGATTTTACAATTTTAAAAAAGACAGTTGGGACCCCCGAGAAGGTTTCACATTCTTAAGAAAATGCATTGGAACCCCTGAGAAGGTTTTACATTTTCAGAAAAGACAGTTGGGACCCTTGAGAAGGTTTTACACTTATGTAAAAAAAGACAACTGGGAGCCCTGAGAAGGTTTCACATTATTAAAAAAAAACCATTTGGGGTCCCGAAGTTTTATATTAAAAAAAAAGTTGGGACCCTGAGAAGGTTTCACATTATTTAAAAAAAAACATTCGGAGCCCCCGAGAAGGTTGTACATATAAAAAAAAAAAGTTGGGACTCCCGAGAAGGTTTCAGATTAAAAAAAAAACATTTGGCGCCCCGAGAAGGTTTTACATTTTTAAAGAAGATACTTAGGACCCCCGAGAAGGTTTCATATTATTAAAAAAAATATTTAGGCCTCCGAGAAGGTTTTACATTAAAAAAAAAAGGTAATTGGGACCCTCGAGAAGATTTCACATTCTAAAAAAAAACATTTGGCGCCCCTGAGAAGGTTTTACATAAAAAAAAAACATTTGGAGCCCCCGAGATGGTTTTGTATTTTTAAAAAAGATAATTGGGACCCCCGAGAAAGTTTCACAATATAAAAAAAAAAAAAACATTTCGGGCGCCCGAGATTTTCCATATAAAAAAAAACAGTTGGGGCCCCCGAGAAGGTTTCAGATTTAAAAAAAAATATTTACCGCCCCCGAGAAGATTTTACAATTTTAAAAAAGACAGTTGGGACCCCCGAGAAGGTTTCACATTCTTAAAAAAATGCATTGGAACCCCTGAGAAGCTTCTACATTTTCAGAAAAGACAGTTGGGACCCTTGAGAAGGTTTTACACTTATGTAAAAAAAGACAACTGGGAGCCCTGAGAAGGTTTGACATTATTAAAAAAAAACCATTTGGGGTCCCGAAGTTTTATATTAAAAAAAAAGTTGGGACCCTGAGAAGGTTTCACATTATTTAAAAAAAAACATTCGGAGCCCCCGAGAAGGTTGTACATATAAAAAAAAAAAAAACAGTTGGGACTCCCGAGAAGGTTTCAGATTAAAAAAAAAACATTTGGCGCCCCGAGAAGGTTTTACATTTTTAAAGAAGATAATTAGGACCCCCGAGAAGGTTTCATATTATTAAAAAAAATATTTAGGCCTCCGAGAAGGTTTTACATTAAAAAAAAAGGTAATTGGGACCCTCGAGAAGATTTCACATTCTAAAAAAAAACATTTGGCGCCCCTGAGAAGGTTTTACATAAAAAAAAAAAAACATTTGGAGCCCCCGAGATGGTTTTGTATTTTTAAAAAAGATAATTGGGACCCCCGAGAAGGTTTCACAATATAAAAAAAAAAAACATTTCGGGCGCCCGAGATTTTCCATATAAAAAAAAACAGTTGGAACCCCCGAGAAGGTTTCAGATTTAAAAAAAAATATTTACCGCCCCCGAGAAGATTTTACAATTTTAAAAAAGACAGTTGGGACCCCCGAGAAGGTTTCACATTCTTAAAAAAATGCATTGGAACCCCTGAGAAGCTTCTACATTTTCAGAAAAGACAGTTGGGACCCTTGAGAAGGTTTTACACTTATGTAAAAAAAGACAACTGGGAGCCCTGAGAAGGTTTGACATTATTAAAAAAAAACCATTTGGGGTCCCGAAGTTTTATATTAAAAAAAAAGTTGGGACCCTGAGAAGGTTTCACATTATTTAAAAAAAAACATTCGGAGCCCCCGAGAAGGTTGTACATATAAAAAAAAAAACAGTTGGGACTCCCGAGAAGGTTTCAGATTAAAAAAAAAACATTTGGCGCCCCGAGAAGGTTTTACATTTTTAAAGAAGATAATTAGGACCCCCGAGAAGGTTTCATATTATTAAAAAAAATATTTAGGCCTCCGAGAAGGTTTTACATTAAAAAAAAAGGTAATTGGGACCCTCGAGAAGATTTCACATTCTAAAAAAAAACATTTGGCGCCCCTGAGAAGGTTTTACATAAAAAAAAAAAAACATTTGGAGCCCCCGAGATGGTTTTGTATTTTTAAAAAAGATAATTGGGACCCCCGAGAAGGTTTCACAATATAAAAAAAAAATACATTTCGGGCGCCCGAGATTTTCCATATAAAAAAAAACAGTTGGAACCCCCGAGAAGGTTTCAGATTTAAAAAAAAATATTTACCGCCCCCGAGAAGATTTTACAATTTTAAAAAAGACAGTTGGGACCCCCGAGAAGGTTTCACATTCTTAAAAAAATGCATTGGAACCCCTGAGAAGCTTCTACATTTTCAGAAAAGACAGTTGGGACCCTTGAGAAGGTTTTACACTTATGTAAAAAAAGACAACTGGGAGCCCTGAGAAGGTTTGACATTATTAAAAAAAAACCATTTGGGGTCCCGAAGTTTTATATTAAAAAAAAAGTTGGGACCCTGAGAAGGTTTCACATTATTTAAAAAAAAACATTCGGAGCTCCCGAGAAGGTTGTACATATAAAAAAAAAAAACAGTTGGGACTCCCGAGAAGGTTTCAGATTAAAAAAAAAACATTTGGCGCCCCGAGAAGGTTTTACATTTTTAAAGAAGATAATTAGGACCCCCGAGAAGGTTTCATATTATTAAAAAAAATATTTAGGCCTCCTAGAAGGTTTTACATTAAAAAAAAAGGTAATTGGGACCCTCGAGAAGATTTCACAT